GCAGTAAAGATAAATGCCTTTTTTGAAAAGCCAGTTATTAAACTGTCACAGGGATTTGTCTCCTGTATAGTGCAATATCACTTTGCAATTGCATTCAGGCTTCTGAGGAAAAAACACACATTCAGGCTCTGAGGCAACAGCCACGCTTCCTGAAACAGGATGGTCTACATCATAAGACTCTTCAAACACAGCAGCCGTTGTTCGAGGGGTGCAGAAGACAATCCTTAATTTCACACTTGACCTGCACACTGAAAAATGATCATTCAGAGGGAAGGGGAAGCATCTTGTTCATTTCACCCCTCTGCCTTTTTTTGTAACAGATGAAAAACGTGAAATCAATGTAGCTTCTACATTTTGCCTGAGTGCTTTAATTTTATTCTTTTTTTTCTTTTTTTTTTTTGTTGGGAGAAATGAATTAGTTCCAGTTCCATTGTCTAGTGGTCTGGCCCACAACTTAATATTATTATTTTTAGAATTATCTTATTGTCATTTCCCTCTTTAATTTTGTCTGAGGCGCAAACAAAATAACTAATACACTTTAGATTCTTTTAGAAATAAAAGTCTGTCTCCACTTTAAAAAAAAATATATGCTGTGTTAGTTTAAGTGGTGAAGTTTTGTGTTTATGAAAGAAAGGAAATATGATGTGATAGGAAGAATGGATTGTGTGCATTCAACTTTTAATTTGAAACCAGAAACCAGATTACACAATCATTCTTGCTAACTCATTGTCATACTTGTTTTGTTTTGGGGGTTTTTAAGAAAAGGGAAAAGTGATGATTGCATGAACATTTGTTTGTTTTTGGTATGTTTAACCATGGAATAAGATGGAAAATATTTTATTGGGAGATGTATATTTTATAAAGTACATTTTTAGATTAGCAGATGAACATATGTTGTCAAAAGTGGTGTTCAAATATGTTAAAAAAAAACAAGCTCTGTGGACTTTATAGAAGACTTTAGACAGAATCGGGTTGCTTTCCTCTTATTTCTTTTGTCAATCTTGAAATGGACTGGTTAAAGACTTGACAAAAGAACAAACCGTTGACAGCCACTTGCCATGTTGTCCACGGGCGAAAAATATAATCTGTTTTCTGTCTTGACTATCTACACGTGCCTAACAGCACTATGTGTGGCTTTTTTAAATCTAACTATTCAGTATTATATTCAATACAAAATATATAACTCACACAATATGTATTGTTATAATAATTTGATTTGTTACACCTCATCCAGCTAATAACCACCTCACAGTGGATGTTTATGTAACCTGCATGCTTTTAATAATCCATGAAAAAAACTCTTCTATCAAAACTGTAGATCTGATACAGCTCTGTCTGGAAAAAAGGGCAGGAGTATTTATCTATTTATTTACAATAATGCATACACATTTCTGTATCTTAATCTCATCTCGTTTATTAGTCTGACAGTTATTTCAGACATTTGCACTGTTTTTTTTTTTTTTTTTTATTTACTGTTGCCAATCATCTCCTTTTTATTTATTATTTATTTATTTATTTATTTGACATATATTTTTTAAACTTCAAAATGGTTACAGTCAACTTATACGTTTTTTTCTTTTTTCTTTTTTTTTCTCGAAACAGCGAGTCTATGCGACAGAAAAGCACAACAGACTTTTTCCTCTTCCACTGTGAAGGACTTCCTGCCTTCTCAAAACACTGAAAGACTATGTTTGGCACGCCGTTTGGGTTTCCAGTGCGAGAAATAGGATGATCTCTTATCAGGGCCATTTGTTTTTGATATACCAACGAAACTTAGTTTCAAGCAAGACTGACTGACCACACTTCCCCCCCTCCGCCCCGCCAAGTCGCTTGCCTTTTCAGGCACTGACATGACGCTCAAATGGACTGCCCAGAAAGACTATTTTGATGGCCTTTCTATTCTAACCAATATTTTCCAATGTAAATGGATTGATGAAACCTAATCAAATACAATATTAATAACTGTGTCTCTTGCTGCATCATGTAAAGCTTCCCGTGTCAACACATGACCCGATCGGTACGTTGATTGTCGGTTCTTGAGACACCTTGTGTCTCTTAATAGGTCAGAATGGATGGCTGAAACTCTCTGCCATTGCTCCTTTAAACTGAAAAACGAGTCTAAAAAGTGTTGGCGAAGCCTCTGTATGTGCCGTAAACAGATTTAGCTAGAGTAAGTGATGAATATTTCTTCGTAGCACAGAGGAGCTTGTAGCAGTGTGACGTAGACGTTACGTTGGATTCTATACCACATTACTGATCACTGGAAATTACATGGGTCATAGACTTACAAACAATTACTGTGTAATTACAAATACCTTCTCAGTTCTGTTGTATTATGTACAGTAAATATATCTGTTGCAATTGAAGTTGTTATTATTAATATTCAATGGATTGTTATGATGATTACTATTATTGGTCATTTCATATATAATGAAGAATAATGTTATTGCGGTTATGACTATGAGAAAATCTATTCTGTATTCTCCAGGGTGTTTATGTGTAAAGAGCCACCCGATTTAGATTTTATTCTTTTGTTCGTAATTGCTGCTAATGTAGAAAATAGACGAGACGAGATCAATTGAAAAATAACAGCTGATATTAGGGCCAATCTCCTCCAGCATTTGTGTGCAATATATCGCATGACAACAGGAATCGTCAAATGAACATACAGATCAGACTAACTTCCCCTCTCATAATGGAAAAATATCATATTTGGGCAGTTTATGATGTAGCAAAACAATTCTGTTCTGTTTCAAATGTTCATTGATTTACTTATAACAGAACATTGTGAAAAATGTGATTATTAACATTATCACTATTTATGGTTGTTGTATTTTTTTGCTTGTTTTTTTATTTTAATTATTTATTTATTTGATACAGTGCCAAGATAAAATAAGTTGATTTTGTATCTATGCTTTTTACATCATTTTACCAAACTGCAATAGCTGCCACTTCACCTTTTTCAATATATTATTTCCAGATTTGAAATAAATCTAACTCTTACTGATTTGTTGAAACGAAAGGGTGGAGGGGATGCCTTATGATGAATAATGGCACAGCTGAAAAATTCATGGATCATGTTTAGTCTTTGTTTTCTCGCCACTGATGTACAGCTCAATGTCTACTAGCATTAAATCAGAGAGATGGCACACTGTGATGTGGTAAACCTAAACAGAATGTAATATTGTAAACGGTTGTAAACATTTTCTAAAAATTATTATAAAGCTATTTTAGCAAGGTAAAATGACTGCTGTCCAGTTAGTGTTCTGTTATTTTTCTGATATGTTTGCCTTCACTTAAGACAATAATATTTCACACGAAATTCAGTACTACTTAGATGTTAGTTAAACCTTTTGAAAAATCTGTTTAAAACGTATACTCACGTTAGAAGAAGCCTCTATTTAGGCTCGTTCGCCAGGAATGATATTAGCGCCAACCATAGACTGTAAAAAAAGATGGACGACGCCCCTTCGCTCTTTTCCATTGGAGAGAACTGAAGCCGCCAGTGTCCCGATATGGCGCTGACATATTGGAACTTGAGTCTGCGCAGTAGCGTTTTCGGGACCAGTCATATGCAGTCGTGAGCAGGAAGTAAAGCCGCGAAATCACTCGGCACTTTTCTTAAGTGGCCTTGTCTGCTCCGTTCCTCTCCAATGATGTCTGCTGATTGCAGTACCTCATTAAAATAAGGTAAATACAACTACTAAACACATAGTCAACATTATGAAAAAAAGTCCGTTAGTACTTCAGTGACTACTTCGCACAGAGAAGCTGTCAATCACAGCTGACAATCATGATGTCACAGCACCGTTTTTATAGCATCAAATAACTAACTAAAAACTTATTTTAAAAACAAACACTCGAAATTACATCAACGTGATAGAAACTACAAATGACAGAAACTATCTTTAGAAAAAAGATATGTGAAGTGTAATTTAATTATTTAGTTGGTCTCACGTTGAATAACATGGGGAGGCGGGGCTTATGACCTATACTAGGACCGGTCACGGGGGGGGCGATCGAGACGTTTTGGCTTCACTTTTGAGGGCTTGTGCGGCACGCTTGGCGCCAACATCAACAACCGACGATTTTATACTCGCGCTGCAGTTAGCATTGGTCTGCATTGCTGCCTTCACGTGCTATCGGAACTATCGTAAATATTGAGTTTCCTAGTCGGAAATTAGATATAATGCTCTCTCGTCGTATTTACTACAGGGAAACTTGGAAATCATTTGAGTTTCCGTGCCATAAACTTTAAACATGGCGAAGGGTAGGCTATATTGCTTCTGTGACAATAGTAGCCTATTCTTTATTAGTTGTTTTCCCAGCTACATCGACATTTGAATGCTCAGTGAATGTTATTGATGAATGGGAAGCTACATTTTATTTTTAAATTAAATATCTTTCAAAACATTTTGGCTTTAATAAGATTTCCCCAAGAAGCAGGCAAGAATTAAACCTGGTGTTCTCCATGATTCCTATTCTTTCCGACAGCAAAGTATTGGTCACATATTATACCCAAAATGAAAATTGTGTTATTTACTTGCCCTCATGTTGGTCACAACCAAAAAGACTTTGTTCATCTTTGGAATAAAAAGTAGTAAAGTATTTTTAATGTTTTCATTTTATGGACCCTAATGCTCAACCACGCATGCTTGACACGAGAACAAACTTAATTGGACTTCCGTAAATTACACCTGTTCATCTTATGAAGTGATCCAGTCTCTTCAGAAGTCTTAAGTCATTTCACATTGAATTATTTTTTACAATGTCCCTTTGTAACATTTGAAGTGAATTTTGGTTGCATGAACTTCAGATGGATGTAAAATTGAGACTTAAAAATAAGGAAGGACATGAGGGTGAGTAAATGTATAAAAAGTATAAGAACTGTATTTTTTTTGGGTGAACTATCCCTTTAAGTATTTGTCCAAGATTAGTGGGGGCGGGAAACTATTACACCACACTCGGTAATAAGAAAAAGAATGCTGACATATAGTACAAAGGGGGAAATAAAAACTTTAATTGACCATACGAGATGAAAATACAAACCAAAAAAAAAAGAAAGTAATTTCCAGTCTCCTTCCTAGATATAACCATATCAGAATGAGCTGAGGTGAAAAGACAGAATAATGGGACATTGCCTTTTGGTCCTTGTTATAGCTGTGTGCCTTTCCAACCATGGCTTTTACTCAAGGAGGTGCAGACTGATGTACAGAAACCATTATGCAGGGGACTTATGGGTAAAATTTGTAGATACAAGACAGATCTATAAAAAACCAACATAAATACAAACGATCAGGCTGAAACGTTGTCGTCGGAGACTACTGCATTATTCCTGGGTCTCCATGCTTTCCTCTTCCCCCTCTCCACCTTCCTCCAATGCTTCATCCTCCTCTTCCTTGCGCTCTGGGGGTTTCTCATAGGCTTTTTCAGATGGGGTAATGATTACTCCATCCCATGTAGACATCTCGGTGGTGAGATCTGCAGATGAGCATCACAGACAATTGGCTTAATGACACAGAAATGTTGGAACTACATAAATTTAATCCGGAATAAACCTCAAACACTCACAACTAGCATCTCCTTCAAGGCCCAAGATCTTGCGGTATCCTCCATGAGAGAGAACCCTCACCAGCGTTTGGGCTGTGAAACACACCATGTCCTGCAGAAACAAATGAATCAGATTATCTGATTTTAACATTAGAATGGTGTATTACCAGTTGACTCAAATCTGTATTACCTGCTGCTCCAGTGTCATGACAGTGTGAACACGGAAGTTCCCGCTTTCACACGGATCAGTGATCCCTACAGAACCTGGCAGGAAAAGACCTGCAGCGAGCATCTGAAGACAGCGCCTGCAATACACATGCTCATTTTACCCCAAGATGCAAAAAAAGATTGATGCCCATGACAACAAGCAATTGGTTAACAACAAACAGGAAGTTCTGACTCACCTGTAAGCAACATTGAGTGGCAATGGCTGCCTAGAGGGGTTGTTCATGACAGCAGAGTGACCCTGTGAAGAGAGCCACATTACAGATATCAAATCAACTGGTGTAGTGCAGAAAACCAAGTTAGACTGATAATGGTGCCCACCAGCAGATCCAGGATCCAGGGAGTGAGAGGTTCAAATCCAGGGAACCGGGCTCGAACGTCTTTCAACAAGCGGATCAAAACTTTCACACTGAATCAACATAGAAACCAAAGTAAGCCACAAAATTAATTAAAGGGATTGTTCACCCCAAAATTAAAGTGGTCATCATTTACTCAAACTCATACAGGATTGAAACAACTTGAGGGCCTTTCTTCTGTGTTGAACACAAAATATATTTTAAAAGACAGTTGGTAATCAAACAGTTGACAGTAACCATTGACTTCCATAGTAGAAAAAAAAAATACTATGGAAGTCACTGACTGACTAGCATCACCTGTCTACCAACATTCGTTAAAGGGCACCTATAATTCCCCTTTTAACAAGATGTAAAGTAAGTCTCTGATGTCCCCAGAGTGTGTATGTGAAGTTTTAGCTCAAGATACCAAAGAGATAATTTTTTACAGCATGTTTAAATTGTCACTTTTTTGGGGCTCAGAAAAACGTGCCGCTTTAGAGTGTATCCCTTTAAATGCAAATGAGCTGCAGCTGCAGGCCAAGGGGGCGGAGCCTCACGAGCTTGCCCTCTGTTGGTCAGGACAATCTCATCTCACGGTGACGGAATGATAATATCAGAACAGAAACTCTCAGTACCAGTGTTCATTTCGAATGAGTTGGACAATAATGCCTACAGAGTCAGATAATATATGCTGTATGGAGATAGAACAGGTATAGTTTAGTTTAATTACGGTTATAACGTATTTGTCATTTGCTTTTATCCATTATTAATACAAGCCTGCTGTAGCGAACCCCATCCGAATGATGGCCAAAAATATACTGATGAGTTCAATTAAGTTTATTGTACATCACACAAAAGATGAAGCGTTAGTTTTACTTCAGAAAATCACTGTAAGAGCTGAATAAACAATATAAGTGCGCGTTAAAGTCTTATCCATAAACGCTCTCTCTCTGCCTTTCATTATCATCAACATACACAGCGAATTACACAAAACACTCGTTACAACTAACAGTACACATTACACCTTTTCAGGGGGTGCTGAATAAACTGGTAAACTTTATATCTGTAAAACGACTCGATGAGCTGTCAAAGCGTGTGCTCTCACTTTCATTTCTGCCGTGATCAGTAACGTTAGGCCTATCGCTCTGGAGAAAGAAACCTGCTTTATACTGACCCTCATTCACAAAGCAGTCCGGTGTAAAATGATTCGAGCAGACAAGCGAATTTCGGTGGAGTTGAGGGAGCATTTTTTTCTAAAACAAAATGAATCCACCTCGTCTTCAGCGGCTGGCTCAGATTTCGGAAGTAAATAGAGAGCTATGTGGATCAATACATCCAGCTACACAACACCTACAATGCTTGGGAGACATTCTCATCACTGCAGCAATGGCGGATGTGTACAACTCGCTGTGAACTCGATCAGGGAGGTTCTGTTAAAACGGCAGTGTCCGTCAACATTTGTGGGCGGAGCCTGTGGCTGATGTGACGTCACACCAGCCCCATGGCTGAAAAGAGACACTGCTTATGATTTATGGGGATAAAAAAAAAGTAGGTGGATTATCACTATAGGGTTGACATCCCCTTTAAAATATCTTTTGTGTTCAACACAAAAAACCTCTGGAACAACAAAAATTTGGAACAACATGAGTGAGTAAATGGTGACCTATCCCCTTTGAAGCCATTAAGAGATACAACTATCCTTACGTTGACTGAGAAGCATTCTCCTCAAACCAGCGAGCGTGACGAATGGCTGCCAGAGCACTTTGCAGAACCTTGATGTCCACTGCAAAAGGAATAGGAAGGAACTGCAGTTAAAATTCTGGCTGCTATATGGCCGATAATCGATTCATGTCAGATGTTGAATGGATAGTTTACCCAAAAATTAAAAGGTTATTTACCCAACCCTCAAGTTGTTCTAAACCTGTATGAATCTATTTCTTCTGCTGAACACAGAATATGATATTTTAAAGAATGTGAATAACCAAAGAGTTGTCGGTATGCTACTTCCATAAACATACAGGTTTGAAACAACTTGAGGGTGAGATGACAATTTTTTATTTTAGGGTGAACTATCCCTTTAAAATTCTGCACAATGTAGTCTAAATAAACAAATAATAACACACAGCCAATCATTTTTAATGACAATGAAGGTAGGCATTACTACAATACCTGGATATTTGTTTTGAGATTTGATAACGGTAACAGTTAACGTTGTTAAATTATTCGCCTATCATCTATCTTCGCATTATTTGATAGGCAAAAGTAATATAATCGAGAAAATAGGCTAAAACCAGAGTTTTAAATTAATATATTAAATATATTTAATATTTGAATTAAATATACTATATTGAGAAATAAAAAATAGCAGCATGGTGAAACATTGTAGATCCCCAGAAAGCTAATTTGTAAGAAAAACTTGTCAAACTAACAGCTGTAGTGTTTGAGAGTGTGACTTACAGTGGAGCTCTGGGTCCAGTTTGCGCAGGTTGGGTGGAACCGTGGTGATGAGGATTTTTACCGTGGCATCAGCAGAGCTGATCTCAAAACCTGTCTCGTTGGTCAGCATGGACAGTACTGAAGAGAAGAGGAACACATTTCATTGAAAATGCAGGCAAAGTAGTTTGATTTTCCCCCATTTTGATTACAAATAAATGGCTTGCCAGATTAAAACCAATACTCACCCTCAGAAGGGTCCTGTGTACGCAGGGTATCAACTACTTTGTTTCCCAAAGCAGCGACAGCTTCCACTAAACAAATAAACAGGAAAAAAACAACAACAGGATTATCAATAAACAAAGCACTCTGGGGATAGAAGTGACCCACATATACAACTAAACAGAACAAAACTCATGAAATGATACTCACAGGTGGGTAAGATCTTCAGGATAACCACAAGGTCAGCTACATTGTGTCCTGTCGTCATGGTGCCCTTTTTATACGATCCCACTTGTCTTACTTCCTCAATTTGCTACAGAGGGGATTGTAAGACATTAAACATTTATTCTACAAAAGTAATATGGGGGAGGGGGAAATGAAGATTGACTTATTGAGTGACTTCGCCTTCTTACCACTTCAAAGTTTCCAGGTGCCACGATTAGGTTGTCAATGACATTGTTAATCTTAGTGACCAAGGACAAAATGGAAGCCTGGAACAGAATGAAAAAAAAAACATAAGCCCAAATTATTTAAACTAACTCAGCAATAATTCTCATTCATATTTTTTAAGAGTTAAAATAAATATGAAGGATGAGGCTTAATTTACTGATCTATGGTTTAACCCACATAGGAAGGACTCATTTGAGTGTTTTGGCCATTTATCCTAATGGAAAATCATTGTACCTGTTCAGAAGGGTTAGGAGAAAGATCTTGGTTCCTCTTCAGCAGACACTCACTGAAAGCAGTCTCGTCAGGAGCCGGCTTCACTCGAGGAAAGGCCATCTCACACTGTAACAAGCAGTTCATGAGCTGGAGGCGTAAAGGATTAGTTTCACAAAGCAAAGAATCAATGTAGAAATGCACTTACAACATAGAAGTCAAATGGTATGTGAGGAACAAAGGGCCGATACCTGAGAAAACAGAAGACATGGAATGTTAGACCAATATAAAATTAGTCAGCAAATAAAATATAAACGCATATAAATAAATAAAAACACTCACCCTTGGACCAAACCTCCGCGGGAGCCGAATCGGCCACCTCGGCCCCTGCCACGATCTCCTCTGAGAAACACAAAATCAGTAATTAAATAAAGGGGAAAACACATTTCTTTTAACAAAAAATAAATACAATTTAAATCATCCGGCAAAATCTCAAATCGTAGTCAAAGCAGCTAATCTTTTTTTATTTTAACTGTTGGGAAAAATAAACACAATCACAGGTAAAAAGGAGCATCATTGTTCATGTGAATGCTCGGTTCTTCATTCATTCGTTCATGAATGTGTTAACGAACATTTCCCTTGATAGAATACATAGCGTTTTACAAACAACAGAATAATAGGAGTTAAATCCAAATGCATCGAAAATCAGTTTTAATGCAAGCGCACAAATAGTAAATATGTCCCATTTATGTTATCCATAAAATGCACACCACGGCTAGCAGAGCAACATGCTAACAGGCACTGGGCTAGCATAGCATCACAATAATAATAAAAAATGCGGCGATTTGATGAACCTCGGTTTGTAACTTAGTCAAGCAGTTGATATTTTTTTTTTTTTTAAGAATAAAACAATTAGAACCTCATTGCGTAAGACGTTTTGTCAGCTTAACAGGAACACGCTGATGAGAAATGCTCTGCCTCCTTCAACAGCTACCGCCGATCTGCGTTTGCCTAACCGGAAGTTTCATTTCAGAATAAAAGTCCGGAATAACAGTCTTCTCCTTCTTCTATGGATTTATTGGCGGGTTGCATACCAACTTTATGGTGCATATCGCCACCACCTGTGCTGGAGTGTGAAGTGATTTCAGTCTCGATGTATGTAACTTTCCAGTTCATACCTAGGACAAAATAACAACACATGCTCAACTGTTTCCTTGGCATATTTCGCATACGCCTGTACCATGTTTCCCTATACGGAATAACAGTCTATAAAAGTCAAAGATAACAGCGTATCCTAGTAAAAGTCCCAGTCGTCATTGACAAACTGAAAAAATTATAAATTGAAGACCTATTTAAGATTTGGCTTTACGATTTTAAAGTCACCTATCAAGTAAAATAATTTGCAATTGATTATTTGAACTCATTTGTACAGACAGTCAGATGTAGGCTCGCTTTTATTACAGCACAAGATGCTCTTTTAATCATATCAGATCACCAGCTTTTACATAACCTTACAGCAACTGAAGTGGGGGGCAAACCAAATATACATTCTGAAAAAAAAAACAATGTATATACACTACCGTTCAAAAGTTTGGGGTCAGTGAGAATTTTATTTTTTGGAGGAAAGAAATCAATACTTTTATTTATCAAGGAATAATTAATTTGATCGAAAGTGACAGTAAAGACATTTATAATGTTACAAAAGATTCTAACCCTAACCCTATTCATCAAAGAATCCTTAAAAAAAAAAAAAAAAAAAAAAAAAAAAACTGTACAACTGACAGACCAACAACTGTTTCAACATTGATACTAATAATAAATGTTTCTTGAGCATCAAATCCTCATATTATACTGATTTGTGAAGGATCATTTGACACTGAAGACACTGACACTGGTGATGCTGAAAATTCAGCTTTGATCACAGGACTTTACTATATATTCACACAGAAAACAGCTGATTTACACTGGAATAATATTTAATACTATAACTGATTTTTGTTGTATTTTTAATCAAATAAGCGCAGCCATGGTTAGCAGAAGAGAATTCTTTTAAAAGTATTTAAAATCATACCGACCCCAAACTTTTGAACGGTAGTGTATATAATTTTTTACTCCAATTTCTCTGGTGATAATATTATTTGAAATGAATTATACATTAAATTAGAATCAAGCAAAAGAAAAAAAAAATCCCCTGACTGGATTGTAAAGTGATTGTATAAGTGCCTCCTTCATTCATTAAAAGAAAATATATATAAAAAAAAACAGTTTCACTATTATTACTATATATTTTTGGCCCACATCATATCCCACTCTTTGGGCAAGAATTTCATTTTTTCTTTCCTAAAACACTTACAAGTAGGTGTTGCAGTGAGGTCTAGATTGTGACACCATGTCAGGGGTGGACCTGTACAGTACGTACACCGCCTTTATCAGAGAAGAACAGGCACACAATATTTTGCCACCCACAGCCAATCAAACGCTCAGTAATCCAAAGCTGTGCCATTTTACGTGAATTACGTAGACATTATGCATGTGCTGAAGAAAGATAAGATTTGTTTTTGCATGTCAGAGTCACTTTCACTGTTATTACAGCAATATGCCTTCATCAGCAGACCACAATTTACAGAATTAATTAAATCCAGTAATAACAAAGAAGGTAAGAATGTTTGTAACAATTTTATAAAAATTTGTGTAAGTGATATGTCTTAGCTACCTGTCCTGTCTGGTACTTTGATGATATGTGTGCTTTCTTTTAATTCAGTTTAAGTCGAAGAAGAAAAAAGTACAGCAAATACTATTTCTGCCTCTTTCATTATCATGTATAAACAAAATATATAGTATTACCTTGATTAAATATTTTTAATGCATTGTTTTTTTTTCTCCATTTCACAACGAATTAAAACTTTTTAAAAACTTTATAAGACTTACCTTTACATAGACTTACTTTTATTTTTTTTCTATTAATATATATTGATTTATATTATTATGCTATTTTTCATTTATTTTTGTAGTACTGTAGTATATTATGTACTGCAATTAATTTGTATTAATTTTCAGATCACAATTCACACACCATCATCTATTTAAAAAAAAAAACATGTAGCAAGCAGCAATGGCAGAATCCAGAGACTACGGTAAAGTTCACAGAGCACCACTTAATTTAATCAAAGTTTAATTTATTGCAATTGTATTGTGCATAGTGTATGCATGTTCTCCTTCAAATGTTGTTCTTCCCAACAGTTGGAGATTTCCTGACAGAATTCAAGGAGCAGATAATTACAAGAGCGACTCGGGTCAGTGACATTGCGGAGGCTGTTATCTCCCAAAGTCTGATCCATGAAGTGGCAGCTCAAAAAGTGGAGGCTGCTCCAACCCAGCAGGAGGCAATGCGGCTCCTGTTTGAGGCTTTGGAAAGAGAGCCAGCCCGAAACAGAGTGTCCTTCCATCTTATCCTGAGAATGACAGAGCCTGAATTGATTCATGAACTAGGTTAGAAAAATTAATAGATTTGTGGATTTCAGTGGCTAGTGTCAGTCATTTGACAAGAACTGGATCTGTCCGATATGCACATTATTTTCAATATAACAGGTTAAATCATGAATCTTTTTTTGGCTTCAAAGCCATAGTCATTATAAACTTATCTCTATAAACTCTTATGAAGTGGTATAAAAAATAAAACTTGCATGAAGATTGTTATGGTAACATAACATTTATGTACATCAGGGCTCTGAACCGGTTCAAGGAACGAAAACAAAAACTGGAAATGACCGAAATTTTAACAGGAACATAGAGAAAAACTAAATTAACTGGTTAATAACGTTATTTTATCATTCTGTTTAAGATTTTAATTTGCCAGTCAACCAATAATAAATTCAAACAGTACGGCCAATGCACATGTGATGTTGACGTATCCAACGTCAGTGAAATGCCCACGCTCAGATGTCAAGTCATCCTATGTAAGTGCTAGCATTAGCTGTCGCAGGAGTTTATCCGAGGATATGTGACTGGCAGGTTATATCCAGTGTGGTGAGTTATGAAACCATCGAAAATTGCAGGTTAGTGTAGATCCGCTACTATTCAGGAAATTTAAATTATTAAAAATTATTAAACACTTTGTTGTCAAATTTAGTATTGTGGCTATATGTATATGGTCAGACACTTGCGTGTTGTTATATTATACAAAGTTTTCCAAAATCAAGCTCAAATGGCGTTACAAGATTTTTAACAAACAAATGTAGTAGATTTTTGTTTTGTCCGTCATTAGAAAGGTCGCATCTGAGGCAGTAAGTGCATCGCATTAAGTTATCATCAACTTACAGGTTACAAAGGTATTGTAGCTATGTGTGCGCTCAGTTTTTACTGTCGTTTTAAATATTTGGCAAAAAGCTTGCGTTATAAAAGACAAAGTGTTACACACAGGCTGAATTGGCTGACTAGATAGCAAATACCAGACTAAAGCCTGGAACACACCAAGCCGAAGCCGACGAACTAGCGCTGATGAAAGCCGACTGTGTTGTCGCCTCTCGTCGGGGTGAAAAGCTGCACTTGAACACACCGAGAGAACTACAGCCGACTGTCAGCTAGAATGCGCGTTCTGCGCCTGCGTGTAAATGAGACAACTGTCTATTTCTGCAGATATATTAGTCTATATTCGTCATTCAAAAAGGGAAACCGACGCTGCCGGCTGCAGATACACATACCGTAAGCAAAGCAGTGCGTGCTTACCGTTTTGAATATCAATCCTGCTAAACACTTTCTTTATTCCACTCCGCTCGTGTTACTATTGAAATATTCGCCAAGGAACACTAAGGTAAGATGACGTAACATAAGAACAGCCTTATATCTGTAGAGTTTTAACTTCTTTGCTCGCTGTTTTGCTATTATTCTCGTGCATTGACTCTTTCACTAAGCTGAGCAGCCAATCAGACTTCCCTCTTTCACCGACGGCCCGACGCCGATTCAACATGTCGAATCGGCCGAAACAAAGCCGACAAGGACCAATTTCAGCCGACGGCACGGAACCGTGCGGAACACACCGAGGAAACTTAGTCGGCCGACACACAAAAACTGCCCGACGGCCGACCGTCGGGTTGGTGTGTTCCAGGCTTTAGAGACTCATTTCCGATAATCAAATAAACAAAATATTAGCCTTTACACACATCGTGTTTTGAATAAAGAAAACGCTGTACATATTTAAAGAACTAGTTTTTTTATTTGCCCTTGCACTGCATACAAGCAGAGACCGTCTCCAAATGCGTGCAGGACTGAGGCGGGTGGGAGATACTGTTGGTTTTGCCGACAGTTTGAGGATCCACTCGAGTTATGAGGTTTAGTCACAAGCTCTTAGTATAAAGTACAATTCAAGCTTGTATAACATATAAGCAATAAAAAAAAGTTATTAACCGGTACATTTTCTAATCAAACCATTTTTGGAACGATTAGGTTACAGAATGAACGCATGAACTGAAATGTTAAAATACTGATTCTGCTTGGAGTGAACTGATGGGCCTGATGTAAATGATCTTTTTTTTTTTCAGAGTGGATACAACGCAACAGCAAGCACACGCAAACAGAGATATGCAGTCCACTCAGTTCTCCCAGAGAAAAAAGAAAACAGGATGGGCATACAAGAGACATTCAGAAGAGAAAAGACTCACTAAAAAGGCGTAAACTGGAGACGATGCGTGCCATTGAGCAGATCGAGAAACTTTGGGAAGGAACCAAGCAAGAAAGGACTGAGATAGAGAACACGAGACAGAGGATTCAGCGACAGCAAGATGAAATAACTAGGATAACCACAGAGAAAAGTCAACTTGAGAGAACTATTACTCACATGAAAGCTGAGATGGACCACATCCGTGAAAGAATGGATCGGAATAAAGAAGAGGTAAACCGAGAGAGGGAGAGGATTGAGCAAATGAGAGCTGATCTGCAAACCGAGCAAACCACCCTGGAGCAAAAGCATGATGATATCATGAGAGAGAGACAGAATTTGGAGATGATCAGATTTGAGGCTCTGAGACAGGAGGAGGAGCTGGAGAGCAACCGAGAAAGCACCAAGTATGAGTTGGAACGAATGGAACAAATGAAAAGTGCCATACAAGTTCAGATTAATGAGATAGAAATGAAGATTGACGAAACACAGAAAGCAAAGGGTCAGATGGATCAGATGAAATCTGAAATAGAGGAGGAAAAAAACGAGTTGGAGAGAAAAAAGGATGACATCAAGAAGCAAAAAGACCAATTTGAGCAGATTAAACTTGACATACAGCAAGTGAAGTTGGAAATGGAGCAAAGGTGGCATGAAACAGAAAAAGAAGGGCTGGAACAGAGAGCTATAATCCAAAAAGAGAAAGATGAGCTGAAATACCTGCAAGGCGAGGTTCAAAGAGCAAGAGAAGAGGCTGAAAGAAACAGAGAGTTTTCAAAACAAGAGGATGAGAGAATAAACCAGCTGAGAGCTCAAACACTTATAGAAAACAACCTCATTGAAAAGAAATGGCAAAACGTCTTAAGAAAAGAAAAAGATCTGGAAGAGATGAAACATGAAATTGAGAGAGGCAGAGAGGAGTTGGTAATGAATGGAGAGCTGGTCAAAAAGGAGTGGGAAAAGATCGAACAGGCCAAAGCAGACATACAAAGTCACATGATTTCTATGGAGGGCAGAGTTGAGGAAGTAAAAAGAGAAACTGAGAGGCTGAAACATATGAAAACAGAGATTCAGAGGGACAAAGATATTGTAGAAAAACAGAGGGATGATACACGGAAAGCTAAAGAAGAAATGGAGAAGAAGAGGTATGAGATAGTGACAGAGGAGATAGAGCACAGAGCTCGACTGCAGAGGGAGAGAGATGAGCTGGTGAGTGTAAGAGTAGAGATACAAAGAGCTAATGATATGGAGAAAGCAAAGATACTGAAAGAGAAGGAAGAAAGTGTTAAGATAAGAGAAGAGGCTAGACAAGAAAGAGAAATGACAGAACTGATCAAAGCAGAGATCAAGGCCGAAAAAGACAGCTTGAACCGAAGACAAGAGGAAATGCTGAGGGAGAGACAAGATCTAGAGAGAATTAAACATGAAATGGTCAGAGCCAAAGAAGAGATTGAGAACAGTCAAGAGGTCACAATCCGGGAAAATGAGAAAATGGAAAAAATGAAAGCTGAAATTCAAGGGCAAATTGAAGATATTGAGAGGAAGGTTGAGGAGATCCAAAAAACTAAAGAAAAAATGGAGAAAACAAAGGCTGAGTTGGAGGAAGAGCAGGAGGAGCTGGAAAGAAAGAGAGATTTGGTGAGAAGAGAGACCGAACAGTGCGAGTTCCTCAGAAGTGAAATCCTCAGGGTAAAGGAAGAAATGGAGAGCAGGTGGCATGAAACTGAGACAGAGGAAGTCGAACTCAGAGCAAAAACTCAGGATGAGCTGGAAAGACTGGAAAAACTAAGGGACGAGGTCCAGAGATCCCAGAAAAACATTGAGGACAGCAGGATGGAGCTCATGCAGTGGAAGTACAGTCTTGACAAAATTAAGGTTCAGGCAGAAGAAGACAAACATGCCGCTATCAAACAGATGGATGAGGCAAAAGCAAAGGGAGAAGAGTTGAAAAAAACAATAGAACAGATGGAGAAAGAGCGAGAAGAGATTAATAACAGCAGAGAAAAGGCTAAACAAGAAGCAGATGAAATCAAAAGCATGATAAATGAGCTACAAAGACAACAGGCAGAAATAGAGAACAGGATTAGAGCCGCAAAAAAAGAAAAAGAGGATGCAAACCATGCCAAACTTGCAGTCCAAGAGGCTGAGATGCTCCTAAAAAAGCAAATGGAAGAGTCAGAAAAGAGACGGTATGAAACCATAACAGAGGCGCTGGAGCAAAGAGATGAAATACATAAGAAAACAGAGGAGTTAGAACAAATAAATGAGGAGATACAAATAGCCAGACATGAGCTAGAAAAGATGAAGCATTCTGAAAAAGAAATTCTACAGAAGATGTTGGAGGATACACAGCAAGAGAGAGAGTTCATTGAGCAAATGAGAACAGCTGTGCTTAAGGACAAGGAAGATCAGGAAAAGCGTTTAGTTAACGAGAGAGAGGAGCTTGAACAGATTCAATTTCAGGTCCAGAACGAGAAGAAAGATCTAGAAAAACTAAGGTATGAGATGATGAGATATAATGTAGAAGTGCAGAGACAAAAAGAAGACCTTGAAAAGATCAAAACTCAGCTAGTTATTGACACAGAGACCATGAACAGAAGCAGAGAGTTAGCGAGACAAGATAGAGAGAAAGCTGAAAATGTTATGCTTGAGGTCCAAGAACAAAGAGAGGATGTGAATAAAAGGTTAGAGGAGACAAAAAGACGAGAGGATGCTATGAGGCAGATGAGGGAGGATATGGAACACGAGAGAGAGGATCTGGAGAAGATTCGCATGGAAACACAGAGAGGGGATGATACGTATGGAGAGGTCAAGGAAGAGATTAACAGAGTGAGAGCGGAGATGGAAAGGTTGTGGGACGAGGCTGAAAAGGGAGAGCAGGAGGAACGTGAGAAGATGAACAGGGAGAAGGAGGAGATAATGAGGAAGATGGAAGCTATGAAGAAGGAGATTGGTGAGATTGAAGACATGAAGGTGGAGTTAACGAAACATAAGAAGGACATCGATGTAAAGATTGAAAAGGCAAGGTCAGAAATGACTAAACTTGAAAAGATGAAAGCAGACCTCCAGAGACAGAAAGAAGATATTGAGAATCAGATGATGAAAGCAAAGAGTGAAAGATACCAGATGAAACTGATGAGGACTGAGATCTTGAAACAAAAAGAGGATGTTGAAAAGAAAATGGAGCTAGCAAAAGCAGAGATGGATAAAATGCAGCATGTCAAAAATGAAATAAAAAGACAAAAAGAAGAGCTGGAGGAAAGGATGCAGAAAACTAAACGAGAGATTGGAGAAATGGAGCTGATGAAGAGAGAAATGGAAGGGAAGAAGAAAGAACTTGACCAAAGGATGAAACTGACCATGAGGAAGAAGGGTGAGATGGAACAATTGAAGATGGAGATACAAAGGGCTAAAGATGAGATGGAATGGAAAAGAATGGAAACGGAGAGACAGAAGAACGAAATGGAGCAAGTTAAAGTTGAAATCCAAAGAGCGAGGGAGGAGTTTGAACAAAGGGTTGAGGAGAGAGATTTAGAAGAAGAGAAAGGACAGATGAATCTCACAATAATCAACCTTATTCAGCAGATCGAGGCGACAAGAGAAATGGTGCGCAGAACGAAGTTCCAGATTGAAAACCGAATGGCAGGATGTCAGATGGAGACAGCAGACCAAGAGGTGATGAATGCTGAGATGCAGAGGCTCATTCTGGAGATCGAACACATTCGAGAAATGCTGCAAGGTCTTAAGAGTGAGGTGGAACACAACAAGGACATTATGAAAAGAGACAGGGATGAGATGAAGCTGTTGAAGAACGAAGTTCAACGAAAGAGAAGAGAGATGGAACACAGAGAAGAAAAGATTATGAGAGAACGAGATGAACTAGAACTCATGAAAAATATGATGCAGCAGCAAAAAAAGGAGCTGGAGGAGAGGCTTGAGGATACCATTAAAGAGAATGATAAGGTGGAGCAGATGAGAGAAGATGTGAAAAACACTTTGGAGGATATAGAACAGGCAAAGGAAGAGATAAAGAGACAGAAAGAACTCATTGCTCAAGAAAAGACAAGCAAAGAAAAGGTAAGTCATAATTTACATAAAGTTGACAGATGCTTCATAATATTATCTGTATTATCAATATTGTCAGCAGCAACTGGACTCTTAAAGTCAACATTAAGCATTTGTAACCCATTTTACTTCCATAATGTAGTTAAACAGGACAATCATGAGTTAAACGAGAAAAGAAAGTAGACGAAGACCTCACAATGAATTATACAAATAAAAAGAGGAAATTTTGATTTCACGTTGACTTCAAAACAAGTTTGAAGAACATTTCGGAACATTTCTTTTCCCATATGAAATACAAGGGACTTTACATTTAATTTTGCCAAAACATTGTGACAAATATTTTGAACTGTACCTAGCATAACTGTATACTGTATATCTAAAGAATATTGGAACAAAGAGATGCAAATGCAAACAAGGAGCTTTTATTCCAGGTTCAACAAGTCATCATTGCAGCCGAAAGCCCAGAGTGTTCAAAAACAGAAGAACCAGCTGCCATCGAAACATTTATAACAGAAGACTTTGAACTCAGTGTAGGTGAAATTCAGAAAGAAAGAAAAAAACTGGAACATTATAAAGAAATCATTTTAAAAGAGAAACAAGAACTACTGAAGGCAAAGGAGGATGTGCAAACAGTGAAACATGAAGCTGAAGAGAGGATGTCCAGACTGCAAGAGGAGGAGAAAGAGATGGAAAAGAAAAAAGCGAGTCTACAAAACAGAGAAAGACTGCTGCAATCAGAGAGAGAAGAGAACCAAAGAGGTTTAGATTCAATATGTAAAGAGAAGCAGCAGCTGAATCAACGAAAACAAGAACTGGACAATATGGAAATAAATCTACAAAGAAAGAAAAATGAATTGGAAATAACAAGAATGATGGAGATTCAACAAGTTGATGTTCAAGTTCAAACTGATGTGATGGATGACACAAGAAAATATGAGAAATATGAGCTGGATAAAGAGCGACAAGCTCTAGAGTATTTCGAAGAAGACTTACTTGCACAAAAAAGTACAATGGAGAGACAACTGGCAGAAATAAATTTGAGCGAAGCCACAATGCAAACTACGACGGAAACCACAGCAGACATGGAGTTACAATTAGAGCTGCAAAAACAGGAGCTGGAACGAACAAAAGATGAGCTGGAAAAGGCAAAGCTAGAAATACAGAAAGGATGGGATGACCTGCAGGCTGAGCTAGCAGAAAGCAGAGAAAAAGAAGACATGATAAGAAAAGAATTAGAAAAAGCGAGAGATGTCCTTAATCACATTAGACAGGATATAGAAAAACAAAAGCAAACCATGGAGACTGATCTAAAAGACACTTTTGCTGGGGAACTAGAGGACATAGAATCTCAAAGAAAAATGATAGAGGATGAAAAGAGAACATTACAGAGCATGAAGTTTGAGCTGCAAAGAGAATCTGCCGATATTGAGAGAGTAAACCAGGACATGCAGGAAGAAAGACAGAATATTACCCTGACCAAGGAGGAGCTGGAAAAAGAGCGACAAGCTCTGGAGTATTTCAAAGAAGACATACTTGCACAAAAAAGTACAATAGAGAGACAACTGGTGGAAATAAAACTGAGCGAGGATGAACTTTCGCTCAAAGAAACCTCACTGCAAACTGCAACAAGAACCACAGCAGACATTGAGTTACAATTAGAGCTGCAAAAACAGGAGCTGGAACGAACAAAAGATGAGCTGGAAAATACAAAGCTAGAAATACAGAAAGGATGGGATGACCTGCAGGCTGAGCTAGCAGAAAGCAGAGAAAAAGAAGACATGATAAGAACAGAATTAGAAAAAGCAAGAGATGTCCTTAATCACATTAGACAGGATATAGAAAAACAAAAGCAAACCATGGAGACTGATCTAAAAGACACTTTTGCTAGAGAACTAGAGGACATAGAAGCTCAAAGAAAATTGATAGAGGACGAAAAGAGAACATTACAGAGCATGAAGTTTGAGCTGGAAAGAGAATCTGGTGATATTGAGAGGGTAAAACAGGACGTGCAAGAAGAACGACAGAATATGGATGAATTGACAGCGCAGCTTAAAAAAGACAGGGAGGAACTAGAAAAGAAAATGTGTGACATGCAACAAATACAAGCAGAGGTAGCAGGAGAAAAGAAAGCTCTAGAAAACCTGAGAGAGGAGAATGAGCTGACATTGAAGGAGATCAAAGTGGAGAGAGACACTCTTGAGAGGATGAATGAACTTGTTTCTCAACAAAAAGATGATATTGAGAATGAGAAGGGGAAAATAAAGAAAAGAGAAACCGAACTGCAGCAAATGCAGGATGACTTTAACAGACAACAAAAAGACATGCAGGATATCCAGAATATAGTTTTCATGCAAAAAAGTCAACTTCAGAAAAGCCAAGATGAAATAGCCGAAAAGCTAAAACAGGTGGATGATGTCATACAGTTCACACAAAATGAAAAAGACAATCTTGACAGAGAGAGGGTGGCTATAATGGAACAGAAGCAGCAGATGGAGAGCAACATGACAAATGCATTAAACAGGGAACTTGAAGTGGTAGCACTTGTGAAAGAAGAGGTAGTAAATGAGAAGCGACTTATTGAGGACTGCAGAATTACTTTAATGAGAGATACAGAAGATCTGGAGCAAAAGAAAATTGATTTGGAAAGACAGAGAGAGGAAATGAAAATGCAAAGACAGGGTATTGCAGGCGAACAACACAAGTTGGAACAGATTAAATCTGTTCTGCAAACAGTAGCTGAAGATACTGAGAAGCTAAGACAAGATACATTAGCTGAAAGACAGACACTTATAGACACTACAGCACAACTCCAGAAAGAGAGAGATGCCATTGTGAGTCTTGCAGAAGAGACAAAAAGAAAGAGAGAGGACCTGGACCAAATGCAAGCTGATATAGAAAAGCAGGAAAAAGCATTTGAGGTATTGAAGGCTGATCTGCAAAAAGAAGCAGGTGCCATTGAAAATCTAAGACAAGCTGTTCAAAATGACATGCAAAATGTAAAAGACATGAAAGCTCAAATTCAAAAAGAAAGACGATGCACTGATAGTCTAGTTGAAGAGGTTGAAAAAAGGTCAAAAGCTCTGGATGAGATGCAAATGGAGATTGAAAAAGAGAAAGACGCACTGAGAACTGAGAGAGACGCACTAGAACAGGAAAAGTCTAGGCTCAGAGATCTCAAAGACGAATTTGCTCAGCAAAAAGAACAGAACATTATAAGACTGGCAGAGATGCTGAAAGAAAGAGAAAATCTTAAGAAGATGAGTGAAACCACCTCAAAAGAAAGGTGCATTGTGGAGAGTGATAAAGAATATTTAAGGCTGAGAGAAAATGAACTAAAGCAAAAAGAAGCAGAGATTGAATACAAACAAAAACAAATGGATGAGTTGAAGAGCAGTTTAAGGATGGAAAAGGTGCAAACTGAGCAGATACAAGCTGAACAAGAACAACAATGGGAAGTTTCACAAGGAAAAATGGAATTTGTAAAGACTGCAAGAAATAGAGAAATGGCAGATCTGGATGAAGCGAGACAGGAAATAGAGAATTTGAGAGAAGAACTGAGGACAAATTATGAAAATGTGGAGCTCCAAAATAAAAAAATAACTGAACAAAAGGAATTATTTGAAAGCCACATGAAATCTTTGGAAATTGATAAGGAAGACATGGAAAAAGATAAAGCAAAACTGCAAAACGAATTTGAAAACTTTCAGTTTAAGAGGCAATGCTTTGAGAAAGAGATTCAGCAAGTGAGAGCTGAGCTTCAGAGAGAAGCTGAAAATATCGAGAGAATGAAGAAAGAGGTGATGGATGAAAAACAGAGTATAAAAGATAAGGCAGACCAAATTCAACATGAGGGAAATGACGGGAAAGAAGCTCTGGAGAGGATGTGCCTTGAGCTAGAAAAACAAAAGCAAGCCACTGAGACCGAAAAAGATATGATAGAAAAGCAGAAGTCAGAAGTGGAGAAGAGCAAAACAGAGATAGCTAGAGAAAAAGAAGATCTTGCTGAAATGAGAAAAAAGAACAATATTGATATGTCAGAAATGGATATGCAGAGAAATTCTCTTGAGCAAATGAAGATGAACATCTCACAAGAGGAACATGAAATTAAAAAACAGAAAGACAGTTTAAGCCACCAGGAAAACGAACTGATTATACGTATGACAAAATTGTATGCACAACAGAAAGAAACAGAAGAGATTCAGGATTTTATCATCAAAGAGAAGAGTCAGCTCAATGAAAGACAGGCTGAAATGGAAAAGCAAAAGAGAGAATTAGATGATGTGCTGGACACACTCAAGAAAGAGAGGACTGATATAATGGAGGAAAGACTAAGAGTGAATGACATGCATTTAGAACTGAAGAGGGAAAGTGAAACAGTGGAGCTGATGAAACAAAAAGTTCTCAGAGAAAAAGAATCTATTGAAAACAGCAGGAAAATACTGAACAGAGATCTAGAGGATATGAAAGAAAAGAGAACCATCTTAGCTGAGGAGTTTAAGACCTTAAACGATCATAAACAAACGATTGGCAAAGAAAAGAAGGAATTGCATACGATGAAAGCTGAGCTCCAACAAGAAACTGAAAATATTGCAAAACTAAGGCAGAACACTGAGGAAATGGCAATCAAACTTCAAAAAGAAAAGGAGGATATAGAGACTTCTGTTGCCAGGATCAGAGAAGAGGAAGCAAGTCTAAGAAAAGAAAAACAAACATTTAAATCTGATAGAGACACTACCGGAAAGGAAATGTTTGACCTGGAGAAAACTAAGACAGAGATAGACAGAGCCCAGGAAGATCTTGAGAACCAATTTGAATCTCAGAAAAGACTAAATAAGATAGCATTGGCTGAGATACAGAAAGAGAAGGATGTTCTTGAGCACTTGAGAATGAACATATCAAAAGATAGAGATGATCTAGAAAAGGAGAGGTATGATATTAAGAGGGAAAGAGCAGAAATAATGAATCAAAAACAGCAAGTGGAGGTAAATTTGAGGGAAGAACTGAAAAAGGAAAGTGAAAAGTTGGAGCTGCTAAGAAAGGAGGTGTATGATGAAAAGGAAGGAATTGACAACAGCAGAAAAACGATAAAAACAGAAATGGATGATTTGGAACAAACAAAGCTTGATGTAGTTAAAGACTTGGAAAATAACAAACTTCAGAAACAAATGATTGAGGATGAGAAGGACAAAATTGAGCAGATGAAAGCTGAGCTAAAAAGAGAAGCTGAAAATATTGGAAGGATAAAACTAGAGACAGAAAATGAAAGACAAAAGCTTGAGGAAGCAACAATCCAACTTAAGAAAGATAGAGACAATGTTGACATCCTTGCTAAGGAACTTAACAAGCAAAAAGTGGGTCTAGAAAACAGGGATCGGGAAATAGAAAGGCAAAGGAAAGCAATTGAGTCTAATAAACAGATGCAGGAAATGGCTTTGTTTGAGCTGAAGAAAACTGTGACAGATATAGCAACTGCGAAGGAGGATCTTGAAAACCAGCTTGCGGAAGAAAGAGAAAAGAACAAGATCGCACTTGCAGAAATACAGACAGAAAGAGACATGCTTCTTCTACTGAGAGACAATATTTCAGTGCAACAGTATGACATTGTAAATGAGAAGGAACAAATTAGACTAAGAGGGATTGAACTTGAACAAATCCAAGCTCTGATTTATAGACAGCAAGATGAAACGGAAGCTACAAGGAAAGCTCTCACAATGGAAAAAGATAGACTTGAAGAGAAGAAAATTGAAATAGATCAAAGACAGAGAGAAGTAAACGAAATCATTGATTTTGCAACAGAAGAAAAGGCTAATCTTGAGAAAGAGAAGTCTGAAATGATAGCACAAAAACACCAAATGGAGATCGAACTTGAGTTCTTTAAGGTAGAACTGAATAATGGAAGAGAATTAATTGAGGAAAGGACCCAAATGTTGAAAACATACGAGGCTGACGTGGATGAAAAAAAAGAAGCTTTAGAGAGAGAGATAAAAGAGCTCAGATATCAAAAACAAGCTATTCAAGATGAGAAGAAGGATGTACAACAGATGAAGATAGAGCTGCAAATAGAAGCTGATGACATCAGAAAGATAAAAGAAGAAACACAAAATGAAAGACAGGGTTTGGAAAAAATGGCCGAAGAACTTCAAAAAGAGAGAGAAGATATTGTTCATCTTGCTGAAGATACAAGGAGAAAGAATGAGATCATGGATGAAATGAAAATTGCAAATGAGTCTACATTGGAAAATCTACAAAGAGAGAAAAACAATCTTGAGCAAATGAGAGAGAACATCTCAAAACAAACAGATGATATTGAAAAAGAAAAAGAGAAAATAAGATTCAAACAAGATGAACTAGAGCGACTGCAAGCAGAGATTCATAAACAACAAAGTGAAATGGAAAAGAGCGACATTGGAGGTGAAAGAGCTGCACTGATCAGGGAAAAACAGGACATGATGACTGAACTGAAAAAGAAGTCTGAAGATATTGAGATCCAAATGAAGGCAGTATTGACTGAAAAGGAATTACTGGAAAATGACAGACAACTGCTGAAGAGAGACATGGAAGATCTGCAACAAAAAATAATGAATGTAGATAGAGATTCAGAGAGTCTGAAACATGAGAGAGAAGATTTTGAGAACGAGAAAGAATTGATGAAACAGATGAAAACTGACCTGCAACGAGAAGCACATGAGATTGAGAGAATCAAACTAGAGGCACAACATGAAAAACAAATACTGGAGGAAATGACTGTCCAACTCCAAAAAGAGAGAGACACCCTAGATGAGATGAACGAGGACATCACAAGACAAATGCTTGAAATTAAACATCAAAAGGAACAAATCAGACAAAAACAACATGAATTCGAGCAGATGCAAACTGAAATTCAGAATCTGAAACAGGAAATAGACAATGACAGACACATTATAATGAAGGACAGAAGTCAGCTTGACCTGAGACAATCTGAGCTTGACAAACAACAGACAGAAGTGAATGAGTTTATGGAAATAATGAGGAATGAGAGACGACAACTAGATAAAGATAAAGAAGAGATGGAAGAACAGAAACGGCAAATGGACAAAGAAAGAGATGATGTAGACCGAAGCAGAAAGAATTTGGATGAAGACTTAAAGATGATGATACTTCATAAACAAGTGTATGAAGATGAGAAGAACAAGTTAGAACAGATGAAGATTGAGCTGCAAAGAGAAGCTGATGACATCAGAAAGCTAAAAGCAGAAACAGAAAATGATAGACAGGTTTTGGAAAAGATGGCTGAAGTACTTCAAAAAGAGAGAGAAGATATTGTTCATCTTGCTGAAGATACAAGGAGAAAGAATGAGATCATGGATGAAATGAAAGTTGCAAATGAGTCTACACTGGCAGATCTACAAAGAGAGAAATACAGTCTTGAGCAAATGAGAGTGAACATCTCCAAACAAACAGATGATATTGAAAAAGAAAAAGAGAAAATAAGACTCGAACAAGATGAACTAGAGCGACTGCAAGAAGAGATTTATAAACAACAAAGTGAAATGGAAAAGGAAAAGAGCGACATTGGAGGTGAAAGAGCTGCACTGATCAGGGAAAAACAGGACATGATGACTGAACTGAAAAAGAAGTCTGAAGATATTGAGATCCAAATGAAGGCAGTATTGACTGAAAAAGAATTACTGGACAATGACAGACAACTGCTGAAGAGAGACATGGAAGATCTGCAACAAAAAATAATGAATGTAGATAGAGATTCAAAGAGTCTGAAACTTGAGAGAGAAGATTTTGAGAATGAGAAAGAATCGATGAAACAGATGAAAACTGACCTGCAAAGACAAGCACATGAGATTGAGGGAATCAAACTAGAAACACAACATGAAAGACAAAGGCTGGAGGAAATGACCGTTCAACTCCAGAAAGAGAGAGAACAAATCAACAATCTCATTGAGGAGACAAAAATAAAAGACATGGTCTTGGATGGAATTAAGACCGATACTGAAGAGAAAACTAAAGCCATTCAATCTGATAGAGACATGCTTGAGAAGGAAAAACATGATCTGGAGAAAACAATAAGTAAACATTCAAGAGCCAAGGTAGATCTTGAAAAACAAAGAGAAAAGCAAAGAATCAAACTGGCAGAAATACAGAAAGAGAGAGAAACCCTAGATGAGATGAATGAGAACATCACAAGACAAATGCTTGACATTAAACATCAAAAGGAACAAATCAGACAAAAACAACATGAATTCGAGCAGATGCAAACTGAAATTCAGAATCTGAAACAGGAAATAGACAATGACAGACACATTATAATGAAGGACAGAAGTCAGCTTGACCTGAGACAATCTGAGCTTAACAAACAACAGACAGAAATGAATGAGTTTATGGAAATAATGAGGAATGAGAGAAGACAAATAGATAAAGATAAAGAAGAGATGGAAGAACAGAAACGGCAAATGGACAAAGGAAGAGATGATGTAGACCAAAGAAGAAAGAATTTGGATGAAGACTTGAAGATGATGATACTTCAGAAACAAGTGTATGAAGATGAGAAGAACAAGTTAGAACAGATGAAGATTGAGCTGCAAAGAGAAGCTGATGACATCAGAAAGCTAAAAGAAGAAACAGAAAATGATAGACAGGCTTTGGAAAAGATGGCTGAAGTGCTTCAGAAAGAGAGAGAAGATATTGTTCATCTTGCTGAAGATACAAGGAGAAAGAATGAGATCATGGATGAAATGAAAGTTGCAAATGAGTCTACATTGGCAAATCTACAAAGAGACAAAAACAATCTTGAGCAAATGAGAGTGAACATCTCCAAACAAACAGATGATATTGAAAAAGAAAAAGAGAAAATAAGACTCAAACAAGATGAACTAGAGCGACAGCAAGAAGAGTTTCATGAACAACAAAGTGAAATAGAAAAGGAAAAGAGCGACATTGGAGGTGAAAGAGCTGCAATGATCAGGGAAAAACAGGACATGATGACTGAACTGAAAAAGAAGTCTGAAGATATTGAGATCCAAATGAAGGCAGTATTGACTGAAAAGGAACTATTGGATAATGACAGACAACTGCTAAAGAGAGACATGGAAGATCTGCAACAAAAAATAATGAATGTAGATAAAGATTCAGAGAGTCTGAAACTTGAGAGAGAATATTTTGAGAATGAAAAAGAATCAATGAAAGAGATGAAAACTGACCTGCAACGAGAAGCACATGAGATTGAGAAGATCAAACTAGAGACACAAGATGGAAGACAAAGGCTGGAGGAAATGAATGTCCAACTCCAGAAAGAGAGAGACACCCTAGATGAGATGAATGAGGACATCACAAGACAAACACATGATATTAAACATCAAAAGGAACAAATCAGACAAAAACAACATGAATTCGAGCAGATGCAAACTGAAATTCAGAATCTGAAACAGGAAATAGACAATGACAGACACATTATAATGAAGGACAGAAGTCAGCTTGACCTGAGACAATCTGAGCTTGACAACCAACAGACACAATTGAATGAGTTTATGGAAATAATGAAGAATGAGAGAAGACAACTAGCTAAAGATAAAGAAGAGATGGAAGAACAGAAATGGCAAATGGAAAAAGAAAGATATGATGTAGACCAAAGCAGAAAGAATTTGGATGAAGACTTAAAGATGATGATACTTCAGAAACAAGTGGATGAAGATGAGAAGAACAAGTTAGAACAGATGAAGATTGAGCTGCAAAGAGAAGCTGATGACATCAGAAAGCTAAAAGCAGAAACAGAAAATGATAGACAGGGTTTGGAAAAGATGGCTGAAGTACTTCAAAAAGAGAGAGAAGATATTGTTCATCTTGCTGAAGATACAAGGAGAAAGAATGAGATCACAGATGAAATGAAAGTTGCAAATGAGTCTACACTGGCAGATCTACAGAGAGAGAAATACAGTCTTGAGCAAATGAGAGTGAACATCACCAAACAAACAGATGATATTGAAAAAGAAAAAGAGAAAATAAGACTCAAACAAAATGACCTAGAGCGACTGCAAGAAGAGATTTATAAACAACAAAGTGAAATAGAAAAGGAAAAGAGTAACATTGACGGTGAAAGAGCTGCAATGATCAGGGAAAAACAGGACATGATGACAGAACTGAAAAAGAAGTCTGAAGATATTGAGATCCAAATGAAGGCAGTATTGGCTGAAAAGGAATTACTGGAAAATGACAGACAACTGCTGAAGAGAGACATGGTAGATCTGCAACAAAAATGTATGAATGTTGATAAAAAGCAAGCAAATGAATTTGAATTGGAGAAGTCTGATTTAGAGAAAATCAAAACAGAAATTGCTAAAGCCAACAAACATCTTGCAGAACAACAGGAAAAAAATGAGATTACAATAGCAGAGATGCAGAGAGAGAGGGATACTCTTGAAGAAATGAGGGTGAACATCTCAAAACAAGTAAAGACCATTGAAAAAGAGAATGAAAGTCTTTCTCACAGAGAAAGTGAATTTGCGCAGCTGCAGGAAGTCATATTAAAACAACAGCATGAAATGGATGAAATGAAGAACATCATCATGATGGAAATGAGTCAGCTGGACCAGAGACAAACTGACATTGATCAATTACAGCGAGAGGTTGATGATCTAATGGAATTCACAAAGACAGAAATGACCAACCTAGAAAGAGAAAGAGTGGAAATGATGGCACAGAAGAGAAATATAGAGAGGGATATGGTCAGTCTAAAGATAGAGAAAGATACATATGAACAACTGAGACTCAAGTTACTTGAGGAAAAAGATCTGGTTGAAAAAGACAGAGAGCTGTTGACCAAAGATTTGGATCAAATGGAGAGACAGAAAATGGATATGGAGAGAGAATTAAAGAATCTCAAATTTGAGAAACAAACCATTGAATCTAAGAAAGAAGAACTAGAGACGATGAAAATTGACCTTCAAAGTCAAGCTGAAGACTTGGAGAAATTATCTGAGAAGACAAACAATGAAAGACAGAGGGAGAAGGATATGGCAGTCAAATATAAAATACAATCAGATACCAGTGCTCTCCCTACAGACAACCAACTAATGAAAGAGCTCTTGGATGAGACAGATAAGCAAAGAAAAGAAATTCAGTCTGCCAAAGACTTGCTTCAAGAAGAAAGATTTGAACTGGAGAAAACCAAGACAGAGATAAGACAAGCCAGGGAAGAACTAGATAGACAAAAAACAGACTTAAAGAGAGAGAAAGACATTCTTAAGCAGGTGAATACAGATAACTTGAGACAAATATCCCATTTTGAAGATGAGATGGAAAGAATACAACACAAAGAGAATGAACTAGATCAAATGAGAGCAGAACTGCAAAATAAACAAAAAGAAATGGATGACATGAAAAACAAAATGAAAAAAGAAAAGGCTGATATGGAGAATCTGAAACAAAAGAGAACTGAGTTGGATAGAGACCTCCAAATTCAGAGAAAAGCTTTTGAAAATGAGCAAGATGAGCTGCAAAAGAAGAGAGAGGATATTGAGAAGTTAAAGTTAGAAGTTCAGAAAGAAGAACAGAGGGCTGCAGAAGAATTAGAAAACGAGAGGCAACAATTTGCAGAGGAGACCAAAATGAAAACTGACACCCTGGATGAAATGCAAGCTGACATAGAAAGACAGAAACAATCTGCTGCTGTAGAGAAAGAGATGATTACAAAGGAAAGGATGGATCTGAAGAAAACCCAGGAAGATTTCAAAAGACAATCCGAGGAGAGTGAGATCACACGGGCAGACCTGCAGAAACAGAGAGATAGTCTTGATCTAATGAGCATGGAGATCTTAAAACAAAAACATGACCTAGAGAGAGAAAGAGATGAACTGTTAGAGCAGCAGTGCCTGGTGGAGACACAAAAGAAGGACATCAAAAATGTGGAACAACTGAGCCAAGAGCTTTTGGATGAGAAGGCATTGACTGAGAAAAGCAGAAAGCAGCTGATTCAAGACATAGATGATATGCAACAAAATAAATCAAATCTACATAAAGAATTAGAGGAGATAAAATTCCAAAAACAAGATATTCAAGATGAAAGAGCTCAACTAGAGCAAATGAAAGCTGAGTTCCAAATGAAGTCGGAGGATATCGAAAATTCAATGCAAGAGATACTGAGTGAAAGAGAAAAATATGTACAGAAAAAGTCTGAAGAGAGCAGGTTAAGAACAGACCTTGATAAAGCAAATACTGAGATACAGAGACAAAAGGAAGAGTTGGAAAGTTATGCTGATAATCTAGAAAAATGTAGACTTAAACTAGATGAAGCAAGGGCTGAAATAGAGAGTATTAAAGAGGATGTTGAAAGACAGGCAACAAAACGGATTGAGGAACGTTTGCAAAAAGAAAGAGACAATATTGAGGATATAAGAAGGAACCTGCTTAAAAAGGAAGAGGTCATTGAACAGGACAAGACAAAAATAAGACTGAGATATCAAGAAATAGAGCTCATCCAAGCTGAATTAGTGAAACAGAAAGAAGAGATGATTGAAAAGATTGGTAAATCAGAACAAGAAATACAAGAACAGCGAAATAAACTACAGATGACAGAAGAGGAATGGAGTGTACGAATGGGAAAGTTGCAAGACGAGATAAACAAAAACAATGTCATTAAATCGGAGTTAGCAAAAGAAAGAGAAGCAATTGATGAAATGTTAAGAGAGCTTAAGAGAGAAATGGAGAAATATGAGAAGATCAAATCAAATATTTTAATCCAAAAAGAAGAGATTGAGACTAAAAGGCAGTCAGATTTAGAGGAACTCATTAGTATGAGAGCTGAAATGCTCAAACAGAAAGAGGAATTAGAGGACAAGATGCAAAAGACTAAACATGAGATGGAAGAACTGAAGCTTTTTCAGAATGAAACTGATGGCAAGAGGAAAGATCTTGATCACAAGATGAGACAGGTAGCAAGAAAAAGAGATGAGTTGGAGAAAATGAGGACTGATATTGAAGGTGCAAATGAGAAACTCGAAATGAACAGGGTCATTTTAAGTATAGAGCGGGATGAGATGGAGCAAATGAAAGCTGAGAAACAAAGAGCAGAAGAGGAACTACGATCTCATATGGAAGAAAGAGGTGGAGATATGGAAGAGAAAGAACATATGAACACCAAGATTCAGATGCTTATTCAAGAAGCTGAAAATACTAGGGAAATGGCTTGGAGAACAAAACATGATCTGGAAAGAAGCATGCAGAGAGAAGTTAATGTTGAAGCAGATTCAGAGGATAGAAAAGAAATGAGTGCTTACATGCAAAGGCTGATCCAGGAAATTGAGCATGTTAGAGAGGTTCTCAGAAGAATGAAAGATGAAATCAAGGCTGCTAGAAAAGAAAGATTTGAACTGGAGAACTTGAGGCTGGAAATTGAAGCCATGAAAAAGAACATGAAAGAAACTTGTGAGCAGCAGAACATTGAGATACAAAAAGAGAAACAGCAAATAAAGAGTAGCAAAGACTGCATGAGCAAAGAGAGAAGTGATCTTGAGCAAATCAGAGCTGATTTGGAAAGACAAAAACAAGACATGGCATTGGCCAAGCAAAAACTTCAAGATGAAAATGAACTGCTGGAGAAAGAAAAGGTTGACATGAAGAAAAAATCTGAGATGCTTGAAAGAATTTTAGAGGAGACAACTAGAGAAAGAACAGTTAAAATTACCAGTAAAAAGAAAGGAATGAGGAGAGATTCAGAGGAATTAAGAGAGAAAATGGAAACATTAAGTATGGATGACCAACAAGAAGAGAGTGAGAGTCAGACGGGCGAAGTTAAAAGACAAATAGACAAACTGACAGAGTTGAAGGCTGAGCTTCATCAACAGCAGGCAGAACTTGAGAAAACTAAAGTAGACTTAAAATATAAGATGGACGAGCTAGAAAACATGAGGTCTGAGATATTAAAACTTGAAAAGGACACTGAGAGTAAAACAAAAGAGGCGGAGCTGATGGATATGCAGCAACAGAGAGAAAACCTAGAAAAAAAGATTCAGAAAATGACACATGAAAAGGGAGAACTGGAAGTCCTAAGGTCTGAGATAGTCCTGGAAAAGAAAGATCTGGATCAGAAGATGAGACAAGTGATCAGAAAGAGGGATGATATAGAGAAAATGAAGACTGAGATAGCAAAGGCCAGAGAGGAGATCAACAGAGAAAGGCAAGAGCTGGAAATTCTCAGGAATGATGTTCAAAGCGCAAGAGAGGATTTTGAACGATTGGTGGAGAGAACTGCACATCTAGAAGATGAAGAAAATGCCAATGCTGACATCCAAAGATTGATTTTAGAGGTCGTGAAAATCAGGGAAATGGTGAGAAATCTGAAAGTTTACATGGACAGCAGGATGGATGAAAGTAATGCAGAGAAAGATGATAAGGAAAACTTTAAGTCTGAGATCCAGAGGGTCATTCAAGATATTGGACAAATACGGGAAAATCTAGGAAGCCTTAGAGCAGAGATAGAAACCACTAGAAGAGACAAGAATGAACTGGAGAAAATGAGGACACAACTTGTAGAGAAGCAACAAGAGGAAGAAAGCATGATAAAAATGCTGCAGAAAGAAAGAGAAGAACTGGAGCAGTTGAAGGATGAGATAAAAAGAGAAAAGGAGGATGTGAAGACCAAGAGAGAGCTGGTTGAGGTAGAAAAGGCTATGGACACAAGGGAGAAAAAGCAAGAACTTGAAAGGGTCAATGAGGAACTCTTGAGAAACCAGAGTCATCTGGAACATCTCAACAGAGATATACAAAATCTGAGGCAAACCATGGAAGAAATGAAAACACTGCATGAAAAGAAAAAGTCTGAACTAGAAGGCATTACTTCTGAGATAAGGAGGAGACAGCAGATACTGGAGAAACAAAAAAATGAGTTGGAGGAGAAGGGTTGGATCCTTGAAGAGATAGAGAAGAAGAAAGACACACTTGAAAAGATCAATATGGAAATACTGAGAAAGAGAGAAGATATAGAAAAAGAAAAGGACAATTTAAGGCAAGAGAAGCAAGAGTTTGAGCTCTTCAGAGGGGAACTACAAAGACAGAGAGATGATTATGTATCTTCAAGACAAGCTTTGATCATGGAGAAAGATCGGTTAGAAGACGAAAAAGCTGAAATCAATCAACAAAAGCATGAAATGAGTGGTGCCATGAAGGCCAATAAGATAGAACTGGAAAATCTAGAAAAAATGAGGAATGAACTAGAAAATCAGAGGGCTAAGTTAGTTGAAAAACTCCATGATGCCACAAAAATGGAAGATAAACTACAAGAGATGATGAGTGAATTAAACAAAGAAAAAGAGCAAGTGGAAGAAATGAAGCGGATGGTCAACAAAGAGAGAGATTTGATTGAACAAGAGAAAGAAGATGTGAGAAAACAGACTCATCAGCTTAAAGATGGCCGTGCTGAGCTTCAGAAGAAGTCAGGGATCTCTGACAGGCTGATTCAGGAAGCAAACCGTGAGAGAGATAGATTAACAGACCTCAGTCTAAAACTTAAATTGCAAAAAGAAGATATAGAAAAAACCATCACAGAAATGGAGACCACAAAGAAAGATCTCAATATAATGAGTGCAGAAGTTCAAGATGACAAGACACAACTGAAAAATGACAGGGATGATTATGAAATGGAAAAGACGCATTTGCAGCTTAAGATCGAAGAGTTAGTGAGAGAAACAGAGGACCTGGAAAGAAAAACCTTACAGCAGAGAGAACAAGATGATATAGCAAAACAAGAGATTCAAAGTCAGAGAGAGGCTCTAGAGCAAATTAAGATGGACGTTCTAAAGGAAAGGGATGAGATTGACAAAGAGAAGGAAAGTGTACATTCAGAAAGACAGAAACTGGTTACACTTCAAAGAGAATTGCAAAGAAAGGAAAGTGAGCTTGAAAACAAAGAGCAAACTTTCATGAAAGAGGAAATCTTGGAGATTAAAAGCAATCTGGAAAAGAAGGAGGCAGAAATTGAAGCGGAGAGACTGCAGTTAATGGAAATGGGTGAAACAATGAAGAGAGAACACAATGAATACAGAAAGATGATTGAAGAAGTACATAAAGAAAAAGAGCAGATTGAAATTAGCAAAAAGTGGATGGATCAAGAGAAGATAGATCTTGAAAACACGAAAAATGATCTGGCGAAGCAATTACAAAATTTAAAACATGAAAAATTAAACGTACAAGCTGAGAAGAATGCACTAGAACAGATAAGGACAGAATCCGAGGAGATCCAAAATGTTATCAAAAAGGAGAGAGAGGACCAGGAAAAATGTTGGATGGAGATTGAGGGGGAAAAGCAACGAGTGGAGGAAGAAATCCGACAATTAAAGAGACAGAGGGAAGAAACTAATAAACTCCACAGTGAGTTACAAAACAATAGAGAGGACATTGAAAGTAGCAAAGAAAAGATTGATAAAGAAATGGAAGAATTATCGCAAACGAGGGTTGAGCTGGACAGGAAAAAAGAAGAAATAGACAAGGATAATCAAAATCTTCAAGATGCTAAATCTGACCTTGAAAAAACTAAAGCTGAGATACAGAGACAGACAGACAAAATGAAAGACATAATAGAAATGAAAATACAAATAGATAAAGACAGAGAAGAAATTAAATGTTTGTCTGAAGAGACTGAAATGAAAATGAGGGACCTTGATATGATGATGAAGGAGATGGAGAGACAAAGGCAAGAAATTGAGAAAACAAAAGCCATTCTTGAAAAGGATAAGACAAAAATTGACAAAGAAAAGAAAGACCTGGAAAACCAAATGATGGACCAGATTGAGGAGATTCAAAAGGAGAGGCTGGCCCTTGAGGAGATAAAGGATGAACTTATTCGTGAAAAACAAGAAACAGAGGAAGAAAAGAATAACTTAATGACTCTAAGAAACAAACTAGAAGATTTAAGAGCAGAGATAAAGAACCAGCAGAATGAAAATGAGATTGTGAAGAAAAAGCTTCTTTTGGAAAAATCAAACACTGAGGAACGACAGGCCGAGGTACTCAACCAGCAGCGACAGAATGATCAAACCAAGGAGGAAAACAAGAAAGAGAGAGAAAATCTAGACCAACAGAGGTTTGAACTTGAACAGCAGAAACAGACGTTGGGGCTTAGAAACATAAAAATGATGGAGGAAACACAAGAAATGGAAAACAAAAAATACATGACTAACAAAGAAAGAGACATGGTTGAACAAATGCAAGCTGAGATACAGACTCAGATTCAGTCAACTGAACTACAAAGGCAAATCATCCAAGACAAGCAAAAAACTCTTGAGGAAAAAGAGCTAATAATACAGAGGAAGGGAGAGGAAGTAGAGAGGAGAAACATGGAATTAGACGGAATTGCTGGTCAGCTTCAGATTGAAAAAGAACATTTAGATAATGTTCTTGAGGAAACCAATAAGAGACAACATGCCCTTGACTTGATGCAGGTTGATATAGAATTGCATAAACAGAAAAATAATAAGGACTTTGAGTTGCTTGAGAAGATCCGACATGAAATAGACAAAGAAAAGTTAGAAATGAAGCAGAAAAAATATGATCTGCAGATCTGGACTGAACAACAGAAAGAAGAGGTTGAATCCCAGTTAGAAGAGCTAGAGAAAGAGAGAGAAAGACTGAAACAGATTAAGAGAGAGCTTCACGCTGAGAGAGAACAAACTGAGAAATGGAAAGCTGATATAAGTAGGGTAAATGATGAAACAGAGACCATGAGACAAACAGTGATCATGGAGAAGAATGAACTGGAGCAGAGAGAGACATATATTACTGAGCAGCAGCAAAGACTGGATCAAAGTGTAAGAGAGATGAAGGAAGAAAGACATGAAATGGATAAGATAAGGATTGAACTAGAAGCTCAGAGACAACAAATAGAAGAGGACACGAGAATAAATGCAAAACAGGAAAGAGAACTTGCACAACTGAGAGATGAAATACAAAGCGAAAAACAAGACATTGGTGAAAACAGGACCATGACTAACAAATTAATGAAAGATCTGGAAATCATGAAAGCCAAGCTGGTGGAACAACAAGAAGAGATCCAAACTGAAGCAGAACAACTGCAAGAGGAGAGAAGACTGGTTTACAAGACAAAATCTGAGGTGCAGAATGATGCTGAAAATCTGACGAACATCTTAGAAGAGATCAGAAGGGAGCGAGAAAAACTGGACATAAAGGAGGCCCACCTTAAACTAATGAAGGAGCAGTGTGACAATACCATGGAAGAAACTAAGAGGAAGAAGAGTGAACTGGAAAAGACTGTTGATGACATAGCAGAGCAAAATCAAAAGATTGAGATCAAGAAAGATTATCTGGAAAAAGAGACATTGAAACAGAAAAAAGACATTGAAACAGAAAGAGAAGATTTACAAAGACAAGCAGATGAACTGAAACTGCAAATGACAAAAAACAGAGAAAAGGAAGACATGAATAAAAGATCAATGGATGATTTCCTGAGACAGAGAGATGAATTAGAGAAAGAAAAAGAGGGCATGATGAAGAAGTGGAAAGAACTGGAGGTTCTTCAGAAGGGAATACAAAAACAAAAAGATGAAATGGAATCAATAAAAAACGAGTTACAGACTGAAAATACTAAAATGAATCAACAGCAGCACAGACTAGAGGAGAGTTTAAGGGCCATGAATGAGGAGAGGAAAGATCTGGAGAACACAAGGAATGATTTTGAAACACAAATGGAAGAGATGAGAGTAAAAGCAAAGATGGAGAGAGAAGAACTTGATCAGATAAAGGCTAAACTGGAAAGAAAGAAAACAGAAATAGATAATGAACAGAAAAAAATGGATGATGACAGGAAGATGATTGAACAGGAAAGGAATGATCTGGAGAAGATAAGGTCTGAAATAATGGCACAAAGAGAACAAATGGAAGAAGAGAGATCAAAAATTGATCTAGAAAAACATGACATTGAGAAGAGCAAAGAAATTGTACGGACATTTATGGATGAGGGGGAAGAACAGAGAAAATATAATAAGCTCCAGAAAGAAGAACTTGGCCTTAAAAGACAAAAGATCACTGATGAAAAAGATCTTCTGGCTCAAAGAAAGACTGAACTGCAAAATGAAAGTGAAAAAATCAGATACATGAATGAGGAAATAAACAAGAAGAGAGAAACACTGAAGGAAATAGAAGCTAAACTACAAAAGGACAAAGAATTAATTGAAAGTGTCATTGAAGAAACAAAGAGACAAAAAGAGGATCAGGAAAAAACAAGAACAAACATAAATAAACAAGAAGAAGAGCTGAGGAAAAACAGAGACCTTCTAGAACAGGAAAGAGAAGAAATGAATAATAAATGGACACAATTACAGCAGAGAATTGATGAATTTGATGCTCAAGTCAGAAAACAGAAGGAAGAGGATATAACAGAACAGACGAAGCTGGAAGAAGAAAGAAAAAGTCTAGAAAAATCCAAAGCTGAGATCCTAGAGGTGAAAACTAAAGCTGAGCAGCAACATCATGATATAAACCTAAAAACACAAGAGTTAAACACACTGCAAGGACAGATTATGAAAGAAAAAGAGAAAGAAGAAGAAATGACAGTAAGAGCAAAGATGGAGAGAGAAGAACTTGATCAGATAAAGAGTGAACTGGAGAGAGAGAAAACTGAAATAGATCATGAGCAGAAGAAAATGGATGATGACAGGAAGATGATTGAACAGGAAAGAAATGACCTGGAGAAGATGAGGACTCAAATAATGACACAAAGACAGCAAATGGAAGAAGACATGAGAGAGGCAATCCAACTAGAGAGATCAGCACTTGACCAGAAAATACAAGAGATTGATCTAGAAAAGAAAACAATTGAAAAGAACAAAGAAATAATTAAAAAATTAATGGATGAGGTGGAGGAACAGAGACATGATATTACAATCCAGAAAGAAGAGCTTGACCTTGAGAAACAAAAGATCACAGATGAAAAAGATATTCTGGCTGAAAGAAAGAATAAACTGCAAAATGAAGTTGAACGAATCAGATATATGGAGGAGGAAATAAAGAAGGAAAGAGAAAAACTGAAGGAAATGGAAGCTCATCTACAAATGGACAAAGAATTAATTGAAAGTGTCATTGAAGAAACAAAGAGACAAAAAGAGGATCAGGAAAAAACAAGAACAAACACAAATAAACAAGAAGAAGAGCTGAGGAAAAACAGAGAACTTCTAGAACAGGAAAGAGAAGAAATTAATAATAAATGGACACAATTACAGCAGAGAATTGATGAATTTGATGCTCAGGTCAGAAAACAGAAGGAAGAGGATATAACAGAACAGAAGAAGCTGGAAGAAGAAAGAAAAAGTCTTGAAAAATCCAAAGCTGAGATCCTAGAGGTGAAGACTAAAGCTGAGCAGGAACATCATGATATAAACCTAAAAACGCAAGAGTTAAACATATTGAAAGAACAGATTTTGAAAGAAAAAGAAGAAGAAATGACAGTAAGAGCAAAGATGGAGAGAGAAGAACTTGATCAGATAAAGAGTGAACTGGACAGAGAGAAAACTGAAGTAGATCATGAGCAGAAGAAAATGGATGATGACAGGAAGATGATTGAACACGAAAGAAATGACCTGGAGAAGATGAGGACTCAAATAATGACACAAAGACAGCAAATGGAAGAAGACATGAGAGAGGCAATCCAACTAGAGAGATCAGCACTTGACCAGAAAATACAAAAGATTGATCTAGAAAAGGACACAATTGAAAAGAACAAAGAAATAATTCAAAAATTAATGGATGAGGTGGAGGAACAGAGACATGATATTACAATCCAGAAAGAAGAGCTTGACCTTGAGAAACAAAAGATCACTGATGAAAAAGATCTTCTGGCTGAAAGAAAGACTGAACTGCAAAATGAAAGTGTACAAATCAGATACATGAATGAGGAAATAAACAAGAAGAGAGAAACACTGAAGGAAATTGAAGCTAAACTACAAAAGGACAAAGAATTAAGTGAGCGTGAAGAAACAAAGAGACAAAAAGAGGATCTGGAAAAGATGAGCACGGACATAAATGAACAAAAACAAGAGTTGAAGAACTGCAGAGACCTTCTAGAACAAGAAAGAGGAGACATTAAGAATAAATGGACACAATTACAGCAGAGAATTGATGAATTTGAGGATCAAGTCAGAAAACAGAAGGAAGAGGATATAACAGAACAGAAGAAGCTGGAAGAAGAAAGAAAAAGTCTAGAAAAATCCAAAGCTGAGATCCTAGAGGTGAAAACTAAAGCTGAGCAGCAACATCATGATATAAACCTAAAAACACAAGAGTTAAACACACTGCAAGGACAGATTATGAAAGAAAAAGAGAAAGAAGAAGAAATGACAGTAAGAGCAAAGATGGAGAGAGAAGAACTTGATCAGATAAAGAGTGAACTGGAGAGAGAGAAAACTGAAATAGATCATGAGCAGAAGAAAATGGATGATGACAGGAAGATGATTGAACAGGAAAGAAATGACCTGGAGAAGATGAGGACTCAAATAATGACACAAAGACAGCAAATGGAAGAAGACATGAGAGAGGCAATCCAACTAGAGAGATCAGCACTTGACCAGAAAATACAAGAGATTGATCTAGAAAAGAAAACAATTGAAAAGAACAAAGAAATAATTAAAAAATTAATGGATGAGGTGGAGGAACAGAGACATGATATTACAATCCAGAAAGAAGAGCTTGACCTTGAGAAACAAAAGATCACAGATGAAAAAGATATTCTGGCTGAAAGAAAGAATAAACTGCAAAATGAAGTTGAACGAATCAGATATATGGAGGAGGAAATAAAGAAGGAAAGAGAAAAACTGAAGGAAATGGAAGCTCATCTACAAATGGACAAAGAATTAATTGAAAGTGTCATTGAAGAAACAAAGAGACAAAAAGAGGATCAGGAAAAAACAAGAACAAACACAAATAAACAAGAAGAAGAGCTGAGGAAAAACAGAGAACTTCTAGAACAGGAAAGAGAAGAAATTAATAATAAATGGACACAATTACAGCAGAGAATTGATGAATTTGATGCTCAGGTCAGAAAACAGAAGGAAGAGGATATAACAGAACAGAAGAAGCTGGAAGAAGAAAGAAAAAGTCTTGAAAAATCCAAAGCTGAGATCCTAGAGGTGAAGACTAAAGCTGAGCAGGAACATCATGATATAAACCTAAAAACGCAAGAGTTAAACATATTGAAAGAACAGATTTTGAAAGAAAAAGAAGAAGAAATGACAGTAAGAGCAAAGATGGAGAGAGAAGAACTTGATCAGATAAAGAGTGAACTGGACAGAGAGAAAACTGAAGTAGATCATGAGCAGAAGAAAATGGATGATGACAGGAAGATGATTGAACAGGAAAGAAATGACCTGGAGAAGATGAGGACTCAAATAATGACACAAAGACAGCAAATGGAAGAAGACATGAGAGAGGCAATCCAACTAGAGAGATCAGCACTTGACCAGAAAATACAAAAGATTGATCTAGAAAAGGACACAATTGAAAAGAACAAAGAAATAATTCAAAAATTAATGGATGAGGTGGAGGAACAGAGACATGATATTACAATCCAGAAAGAAGAGCTTGACCTTGAGAAACAAAAGATCACTGATGAAAAAGATCTTCTGGCTGAAAGAAAGACTGAACTGCAAAATGAAAGTGTACAAATCAGATACATGAATGAGGAAATAAACAAGAAGAGAGAAACACTGAAGGAAATTGAAGCTAAACTACAAAAGGACAAAGAATTAAGTGAGCGTGAAGAAACAAAGAGACAAAAAGAGGATCTGGAAAAGATGAGCACGGACATAAATGAACAAAAACAAGAGTTGAAGAACTGCAGAGACCTTCTAGAACAAGAAAGAGGAGACATTAAGAATAAATGGACACAAATACAGCAGAGAATTGATGAATTTGAGGATCAAGTCAGAAAACAGAAGGAAGAGGATATAACAGAACAGAAGAAGCTGAAAGAAGAAAGAAAAAGTCTAGAAAAATCCAAAGCTGAGATCCTAGAGGTGAAAACTAAAGCTGAGCAGCAACATCATGATATAAACCTAAAAACACAAGAGTTAAACACACTGCAAGGACAGATTATGAAAGAAAAAGAGAAAGAAGAAGAAGAAATGACAGTAAGAGCAAAGATGGAGAGAGAAGAACTTGATCAGATAAAGAGTGAACTGGAGAGAGAGAAAACTGAAATAGATCATGAGCAGAAGAAAATGGATGATGACAGGAAGATGATTGAACAGGAAAGAAAGGACCTGGAGAAGATGAGGACTCAAATAATGACACAAAGACAGCAAATGGAAGAAGACATGAGAGAGGCAATCCAACTAGAGAGATCAGCACTTGACCAGAAAATACAAGAGATTGATCTAGAAAAGGACAACATTGAAAAGAACAAAGAAATAATAAAAAAAATAATGGATGAGGTGGAGGAACAGAGACATGGTATTACAATCCAGAAAGAAGAGCTTTACCTTGAGAAACAAAAGATCACAGATGAAAAATATCTTCTGGCTCAAAGAAAGACTGAACTGCAAAATGAAGTTGAACGAATCAGATATATGGAGGAGGAAATAAAGAAGGAAAGAGAAAAACTGAAGGAAATGGAAGCTCATCTACGAAAGGACAAAGAATTAATTGAAAGTGTCATTGAAGAAACAAAGAGACAAAAAGAGGATCTGGAAAAGATGAGCACAAACATAAATGAACAAAAACAAGAGTTGAAGAATTGCAGAGACCTTCTAGAACAGGAAAGAGAAGAAATGAATAATAAATGGACACAATTACAGCAGAGAATTGATGAATTTGATGCTCAAGTCAGAAAACAGAAGGAAGAGGATATAACAGAACAGAAGAAGCTGGAAGAAGAAAGAAAAAGTCTAGAAGAGACCAAAGCTGAGATCCAGGAGTTAAAGACTAAAGCTGAGCAGGAACATCATGATATAAACCTAAAAACGCAAGAGTTAAACATATTGAAAGAACAGATTTTGAAAGAAAAAGAAAAAGAAGAAGAAATGAGAGTAAAAGCAAAGATGGAGAGAGAAGAACTTGATCAGATAAAGAGTGAACTGGAGAGAGAGAAAACTGAAATAGATCATGAGCAGAAGAAAATGGATGATGACAGGAAGATGATTGAACAGGAAAGAAATGACCTGGAGAAGATGAGGACTCAAATAATGACACAAAGACAGCAAATGGAAGAAGACATGAGAGAGGCAATCCAACTAGAGAGATCAGCACTTGACCAGAAAATACAAAAGATTGATCTAGAAAAGGACACAATTGAAAAAAACAAAGAAATAATTAAAAAATTAATGGATGAGGTGGAGGAACAGAGACATGATATTACAATCCAGAAAGAAGAGCTTGACCTTGAGAAACAAAAGATCACAGATGAAAGGGATATTCTGGCTGAAAGAAAGAATAAACTGCAAAATGAAGTTGAACGAATCAGATATATGGAGGAGGAAATAAAGAAGGAAAGAGAAAAACTGAAGGAAATGGAAGCTCATCTACAAATGGACAAAGAATTAATTGAAAGTGTCATTGAAGAAACAAAGAGACAAAAAGAGGATCAGGAAAAAACAAGAACAAACACAAATCAACAAGAAGAAGAGCTGAGGAAAAACAGAGACCTTCTAGAACAGGAAAGAGAAGAAATTAATAATAAATGGACACAATTACAGCAGAGAATTGATGAATTTGATGCTCAAGTCAGAAAACAGAAGGAAGAGGATATACCAGAACAGAAGAAGATGGACAAAGAAAGAAAAAGTCTAGAAAAATCCAAAGCTGAGATCCAGGAGTTAAAGACTAAAGCTGAGCAGGAACATCATGATATAAACCTAAAAGCACAAGAGTTAAAGATATTGAAAGAACAGATTTTGAAAGAAGAAGAGAAAGAAGAAGAAATGAGAGTAAAAGCAAAGATGGAGAGAGAAGAACTTGATCAGATAAAGAGTGACCTGGAGAGAGAGAAAACTGAAATATTTCATGAGCGGAAGAAAATGGATGATGACAGGAAGATGATTGAACACGAAAGAAAGGACCTGGAGAAGATGAGGACTCAAATAATGACACAAAGACAGCAAATGGAAGAAGACATGAGAGAGGCAATCCAACTAGAGAGATCAGCACTTGACCAGAAAATACAAAAGATTGATCTAGAAAAAGACAACATTGAAAAGAACAAAGAAATAATAAAAAAAATAATGGATGAGGTGGAGGAACAGAGACATGGTATTACAATCCAGAAAGAAGAGCTTGACCTTGAGAAACAAAAGATCACAGATGAAAAATATATTCTGGCTCAAAGAAAGACTGAACTGCAAAATGAAGTTAAACGAATCAGATATATGGAGGAGGAAATAAAGAAGGAAAGAGAAAAACTGAAGGAAATGGAAGCTCATCTACAAAAGGACAAAGAATTAATTGAAAGTGTCATTGAAGAAACAAAGAGACAAAAAGAGGATCTGGAAAAGATGAGGACAAACATAAATGAACAAAAACAAGAGTTGAAGAATTGCAGAGACCTTCTAGAACAGGAAAGAGAAGAAATGAATAATAAATGGACACAATTACAGCAGAGAATTGATGAAGTTGATGCTCAAGTCAGAAAACAGAAGGAAGAGGATATAACAGAACAGAAGAAGCTGGAAGAAGAAAGAAAAAGTCTAGAAAAATCCAAAGCTGAGATCCTAGAGGTGAAAACTAAAGCTGAGCAGCAACATCATGATATAAACCTAAAAACACAAGAGTTAAACACACTGCAAGGACAGATTATGAAAGAAAAAGAGAAAGAAGAAGAAATGACAGTAAGAGCAAAGATGGAGAGAGAAGAACTTGATCAGATAAAGAGTGAACTGGAGAGAGAGAAAACTGAAATAGATAATGAGCAGAAGAAAATGGATGATGACAGGAAGATGATTGAACAGGAAAGAAAGGACCTGGAGAAGATGAGGACTCAAATAATGACACAAAGACAGCAAATGGAAGAAGACATGAGAGAGGCAATCCAACTAGAGAGATCAGCACTTGACCAGAAAATACAAAAGATTGATCTAGAAAAGGACACAATTGAAAAGAACAAAGAAATAATTCAAAAATTAATGGATGAGGTGGAGGAACAGAGACATGATATTACAATCCAGAAAGAAGAGCTTGACCTTGAGAAACAAAAGATCACTGATGAAAAAGATCTTCTGGCTGAAAGAAAGAATAAACTGCAAAATGAAAGTGTACAAATCAGATACATGAATGAGGAAATAAACAAGAAGAGAGAAACACTGAAGGAAATTGAAGCTAAACTACAAAAGGACAAAGAATTAAGTGAGCGTGAAGAAACAAAGAGACAAAAAGAGGATCTGGAAAAGATAAGCACGGACATAAATGAACAAAAACAAGAGTTGAAGAACTGCAGAGACCTTCTAGAACAAGAAAGAGGAGACATTAAGAATAAATGGACACAATTACAGCAGAGAATTGATGAATTTGAGGATAAAGTCAGAAAACAGAAGGAAGAGGATATAACAGAACAGAAGAAGATGGAAGAAGAAAGAAAAAGTCTAGAAGAGACCAAAGCTGAGATCCAGGAGTTAAAGACTAAAGCTGAGCAGGAACATCATGATATAAACCTAAAAACGCAAGAGTTAAACATTTTGAAAGAACAGATTTTGAAAGAAAAAGAGAAAGAAGAAGAAATGAGAGTAAAAGCAAAGATGGAGAGAGAAGAAAAGAAAACTAGAATAGATCATGAGCAGAAGAAAATGGATGATGACAGGAAGATGATTGAACACGAAAGAAAGGACCTGGAGAAGATGAGGACTCAAATAATGACACAAAGACAGCAAATGGAAGAAGACATGAGAGAGGCAATCCAACTAGAGAGATCAGCACTTGACCAGAAAATACAAGAGATTGATCTAGAAAAGAAAACAATTGAAAAGAACAAAGAAATAATAATAAAATTAATGGATGAGGTGGAGGAACAGAGACATGATATTACAATCCAGAAAGAAGAGCTTGACCTTGAGAAACAAAAGATCACAGATGAAAGGGATATTCTGGCTGAAAGAAAGAATAAACTGCAAAATGAAGTTGAACGAATCAGATATATGGAGGAGGAAATAAAGAAGGAAAGAGAAAAACTGAAGGAAATGGAAGCTCATCTACAAATGGACAAAGAATTAATTGAAAGTGTCATTGAAGAAACAAAGAGACAAAAAGAGGATCAGGAAAAAACAAGAACAAACACAAATAAACAAGAAGAAGAGCTGAGGAAAAACAGAGACCTTCTAGAACAGGAAAGAGAAGAAATTAATAATAAATGGACACAATTACAGCAGAGAATTGATGAATTTGATGCTCAAGTCAGAAAACAGAAGGAAGAGGATATACCAGAACAGAAGAAGATGGACAAAGAAAGAAAAAGTCTAGAAGAGACCAAAGCCGAGATCCAGGAGTTAAAGACTAAAGCTGAGCAGGAACATCATGATATAAACCTAAAAGCACAAGAGTTAAAGATATTGAAAGAACAGATTTTGAAAGAAGAAGAGAAAGAAGAAGAAATGAGAGTAAAAGCAAAGATGGAGAGAGAAGAACTTGATCAGATAAAGAGTGACCTGGAGAGAGAGAAAACTGAAATATTTCATGAGCGGAAGAAAATGGATGATGACAGGAAGATGATTGAACAGGAAAGAAAGGACCTGGAGAAGATGAGGACTCAAATAATGACACAAAGACAGCAAATGGAAGAAGACATGAGAGAGGCAATCCAACTAGAGAGATCAGCACTTGACCAGAAAATACAAGAGATTGATCTAGAAAAGAAAACAATTGAAAAGAACAAAGAAATAATTAAAAAATTAATGGATGAGGTGGAGGAACAGAGACATGATATTACAATCCAGAAAGAAGAGCTTGACCTTGAGAAACAAAAGATCACAGATGAAAAAGATATTCTGGCTGAAAGAAAGAATAAACTGCAAAATGAAGTTGAACGAATCAGATATATGGAGGAGGAAATAAAGAAGGAAAGAGAAAAACTGAAGGAAATTGAAGCTAAACTACAAAAGGACAAAGAATTAAGTGAGCGTGAAGAAACAAAGAGACAAAAAGAGGATCTGGAAAAGATGAGCACGGACATAAATGAACAAAAACAAGAGTTGAAGAACTGCAGAGACCTTCTAGAACAAGAAAGAGGAGACATTAAGAATAAATGGACACAATTACAGCAGAGAATTGATGAATTTGAGGATAAAGTCAGAAAACAGAAGGAAGAGGATATAACAGAACAGAAGAAGATGGAAGAAGAAAGAAAAAGTCTAGAAGAGACCAAAGCTGAGATCCAGGAGTTAAAGACTAAAGCTGAGCAGCAACATCATGATATAAACCTAAAAACGCAAGAGTTAAACATTTTGAAAGAACAGATTTTGAAAGAAAAAGAGAAAGAAGAAGAAATGAGAGTAAAAGCAAAGATGGAGAGAGAAGAAAAGAAAACTAGAATAGATCATGAGCAGAAGAAAATGGATGATGACAGGAAGATGATTGAACACGAAAGAAAGGACCTGGAGAAGATGAGGACTCAAATAATGACACAAAGACAGCAAATGGAAGAAGACATGAGAGAGGCAATCCAACTAGAGAGATCAGCACTTGACCAGAAAATACAAGAGATTGATCTAGAAAAGAAAACAATTGAAAAGAACAAAGAAATAATAATAAAATTAATGGATGAGGTGGAGGAACAGAGACATGATATTACAATCCAGAAAGAAGAGCTTGACCTTGAGAAACAAAAGATCACAGATGAAAAAGATATTCTGGCTGAAAGAAAGAATAAACTGCAAAATGAAGTTGAACGAATCAGATATATGGAGGAGGAAATAAAGAAGGAAAGAGAAAAACTGAAGGAAATGGAAGCTCATCTACAAATGGACAAAGAATTAATTGAAAGTGTCATTGAAGAAACAAAGAGACAAAAAGAGGATCAGGAAAAAACAAGAACAAACACAAATAAACAAGAAGAAGAGCTGAGGAAAAACAGAGACCTTCTAGAACAGGAAAGAGAAGAAATTAATAATAAATGGACACAATTACAGCAGAGAATTGATGAATTTGATGCTCAAGTCAGAAAACAGAAGGAAGAGGATATACCAGAACAGAAGAAGATGGACAAAGAAAGAAAAAGTCTAGAAGAGACCAAAGCCGAGATCCAGGAGTTAAAGACTAAAGCTGAGCAGGAACATCATGATATAAACCTAAAAGCACAAGAGTTAAAGATATTGAAAGAACAGATTTTGAAAGAAGAAGAGAAAGAAGAAGAAATGAGAGTAAAAGCAAAGATGGAGAGAGAAGAACTTGATCAGATAAAGAGTGACCTGGAGAGAGAGAAAACTGAAATATTTCATGAGCGGAAGAAAATGGATGATGACAGGAAGATGATTGAACACGAAAGAAAGGACCTGGAGAAGATGAGGACTCAAATAATGACACAAAGACAGCAAATGGAAGAAGACATGAGAGAGGCAATCCAACTAGAGAGATCAGCACTTGACCAGAAAATACAAGAGATTGATCTAGAAAAGGACAACATTGAAAAGAACAAAGAAATAATAAAAAAATTAATGGATGAGGTGGAGGAACAGAGACATGGTATTACAATCCAGAAAGAAGAGCTTGACCTTGAGAAACAAAAGATCACAGATGAAAAATATATTCTGGCTCAAAGAAAGACTGAACTGCAAAATGAAGTTAAACGAATCAGATATATGGAGGAGGAAATAAAGAAGGAAAGAGAAAAACTGAAGGAAATGGAAGCTCATCTACAAAAGGACAAAGAATTAATTGAAAGTGTCATTGAAGAAACAAAGAGACAAAAAGAGGATCTGGAAAAGATGAGGACAAACATAAATGAACAAAAACAAGAGTTGAAGAATTGCAGAGACCTTCTAGAACAGGAAAGAGAAGAAATGAATAATAAATGGACACAATTACAGCAGAGAATTGATGAAGTTGATGCTCAAGTCAGAAAACAGAAGGAAGAGGATATAACAGAAAAGAAGAAGATGGAAGAAGAAAGAAAAAGTCTAGAAAAATCCAAAGCTGAGATCCTAGAGGTGAAAACTAAAGCTGAGCAGCAACATCATGATATAAACCTAAAAACACAAGAGTTAAACACACTGCAAGGACAGATTATGAAAGAAAAAGAGAAAGAAGAAGAAATGACAGTAAGAGCAAAGATGGAGAGAGAAGAACTTGATCAGATAAAGAGTGAACTGGAGAGAGAGAAAACTGAAATAGATCATGAGCAGAAGAAAATGGATGATGACAGGAAGATGATTGAACAGGAAAGAAATGACCTGGAGAAGATGAGGACTCAAATAATGACACAAAGACAGCAAATGGAAGAAGACATGAGAGAGGCAATCCAACTAGAGAGATCAGCACTTGACCAGAAAATACAAGAGATTGATCTAGAAAAGGACACAATTGAAAAGAACAAAGAAATAATTCAAAAATTAATGGATGAGGTGGAGGAACAGAGACATGATATTACAATCCAGAAAGAAGAGCTTGACCTTGAGAAACAAAAGATCACTGATGAAAAAGATCTTCTGGCTGAAAGAAAGAATAAACTGCAAAATGAAAGTGTAAAAATCAGATACATGAATGAGGAAATAAACAAGAAGAGAGAAACACTGAAGGAAATTGAAGCTAAACTACAAAAGGACAAAGAATTAAGTGAGCGTGAAGAAACAAAGAGACAAAAAGAGGATCTGGAAAAGATAAGCACGGACATAAATGAACAAAAACAAGAGTTGAAGAACTGCAGAGACCTTCTAGAACAAGAAAGAGGAGACATTAAGAATAAATGGACACAATTACAGCAGAGAATTGATGAATTTGAGGATCAAGTCAGAAAACAGAAGGAAGAGGATATACCAGAACAGAAGAAGATGGAAGAAGAAAGAAAAAGTCTAGAAGAGACCAAAGCTGAGATCCAGGAGTTAAAGACTAAAGCTGAGCAGGAACATCATGATATAAACCTAAAAACACAAGAGTTAAACATATTGAAAGAACAGATTTTGAAAGAAAAAGAGAAAGAAGAAGAAATGAGAGTAAAAGCAAAGATGGAGAGAGAAGAACTTGATCAGATAAAAAATGAATTGGAGAGAGAGAAAACTAGAATAGATCATGAGCAGAAGAAAATGGATGATGACAGGAAGATGATTGAAAAGGAAAGAAAGGACCCGGAGAAGATGAGGACTGAAATAATGACACAAAGACAGCAAATGGAAGAAGACATGAGAGAGGCAATCCAACTAGAGAGATCAGCACTTGACCAGAAAATACAAGAGATTGATCTAGAAAAGAAAACAATTGAAAAGAACAAAGAAATAATTAAAAAATTAATGGATGAGGTGGAGGAACAGAGACATGATATTACAATCCAGAAAGAAGAGCTTGACCTTGAGAAACAAAAGATCACAGATGAAAAAGATATTCTGGCTGAAAGAAAGAATAAACTGCAAAATGAAGTTGAACGAATCAAATATATGGAGGAGGAAATAAAGAAGGAAAGAGAAAAACTGAAGGAAATGGAAGCTCATCTACAAATGGACAAAGAATTAATTGAAAGTGTCATTGAAGAAACAAAGAGACAAAAAGAGGATCAGGAAAAAACAAGAACAAACACAAATAAACAAGAAGAAGAGCTGAGGAAAAACAGAGACCTTCTAGAACAGGAAAGAGAAGAAATTAATAATAAATGGACACAATTACAGCAGAGAATTGATGAATTTGATGCTCAAGTCAGAAAACAGAAGGAAGAGGATATACCAGAACAGAAGAAGATGGACAAAGAAAGAAAAAGTCTAGAAGAGACCAAAGCCGAGATCCAGGAGTTAAAGACTAAAGCTGAGCAGGAACATCATGATATAAACCTAAAAGCACAAGAGTTAAAGATATTGAAAGAACAGATTTTGAAAGAAGAAGAGAAAGAAGAAGAAATGAGAGTAAAAGCAAAGATGGAGAGAGAAGAACTTGATCAGATAAAGAGTGACCTGGAGAGAGAGAAAACTGAAATAGATCATGAGCGGAAGAAAATGGATGATGACAGGAAGATGATTGAACAGGAAAGAAATGACCTGGAGAAGATGAGGACTCAAATAATGACACAAAGACAGCAAATGGAAGAAGACATGAGAGAGGCAATCCAACTAGAGAGATCAGCACTTGACCAGAAAATACAAGAGATTGATCTAGAAAAGGACAACATTGAAAAGAACAAAGAAATAATTCAAAAATTAATGGATGAGGTGGAGGAACAGAGACATGATATTACAATCCAGAAAGAAGAGCTTGAACTTGAGAAACAAAAGATCACAGATGAAAAATATCTTCTGGATCAAAGAAAGACTGAACTGCAAATTGAAAGTGTACAAATCGGATACATGAATGAGGAAATAAAGAAGGAGAGAGAAACACTGACGGAACCTCGTCTACAAAAGAACAAAGAAGAAACTGAGAGTGTCATTGAAACGGGGAGACGAAAAGAAGATCTGGAAAAGATGAACACAGATTTAAGTAGACAAAAACAAGAGTTGAAGAACTGCAGAGACCTTTTAGAACAAGAAAGAGAAGAAATAAATCATAAATGGGCACAGTTACAACAGAGAATTGATGAATATGAGCAGTCAAAGACTGAGTCCATAAGGAACATTCTGGAGGTCAGCAGACAAGAAGGAGAAAAGAACAAAATGGAAGAAAAACTTAAACAGGCCAACCAGGAATATGAAAGTGTCATAGAAGAAACAAACAAGAGAAGGAATGAACTAGAGCAAATTATGTTTGATATATCTCTTGAAAATCAAGAGATTGAGACCAAGAAAGATATTTTGGAGAAAGAGAGAAATAACATCAAAAAGGAAAGAGAAGAGTTACAGAGACAAGCTGATGATCTGGAGATGCATATGACAAAACACAGAGAAAAAGAAGAGATGAGTAAAATATCAATGGATGATGAGAAGAAGCTTCTTGAGCAGAAAGCTGATGAAATTTTAAGACAGAAAGATGAACTGGAGAAAGAAAAAGAGGACATAATGAAGAAGTGGAATGAGCTGGACATTCTTCAGAAGGAATTACAAAAACAAAGAGATGAAACAGAAGAAATCAAAAATGAGTTACAGATTGAAAAGAATAGACAGCAGCACAGACTGGAGAAGAGTTTAAGAGCCATGAATAAGGAGAAGAAAGATCTGGAGAACATGAGGAATGAATCTGAAACACACAGACAACAAATGGAAGAGATGAGAGTAAAAGCAAAGATGGAGAGAGAGGAACTTGATCAACTGATGTCCCAAATATTGATGGAACAAAATAAAACTGAAATGAGCAAGGAAATGATAGATAGTCTAAAGAAGGAAATGGAGCAAACAAAAGCCAAAATAAACGCTAAAGAGGAGGAAATCAAACTGGAAAAGCAAATAGTGCAAAATGAGAGGAAAGATCTAGAGCAGTTCAAGGCTGAAATCAAGAGACAGGCTGAAGAAATAAAGACCATAAAAGAGCAGACCCATCAACTAGAAAAAGAGAAAGAAGCATCTGAAACATTAAAGGAGGAACGTTTACCCAAACAACTTGCTCAACAGAAGTCAGAAGAAACAGTATCTCAAGGAAAACCGATACAAATAGATGAAGTCAACAGACTCTTGTTTGAGATTCAAAGGGAAAGGGAGGAACTTGAAAGAAACAAAAACATCTTGGAACATCAGAGGGAGGCACTGGAAGAGATGAAGAGTATACAACCAACACAGAGACCGGAAATCATTTCGATTAGTTCTGCAACACAAACATCTGATCTAGATTACATACCTGTAGGAGACATTTCAACCCCTCAGGAAGAGATTGTTGAGGAACACACAGACATTCATAAGGGATATAGAACTTTCATAACAAGAGAGAAGGAAGATCAACTAGAAAGAATAAGAGGTCAGGAAGACATGGAGCTCAAACTGAGAAGTGAAGAAACCGAAATGGAGGCAAGCCGAGAGGACACAACACCTACAAGTGAATATAAATATGTACCAGATCCATCCATGGTAGTAAAGTTGGAGTTCAATAAAGATGAAACCGAAGGCCTTACTGAGATGCTGAAGACTGAAAGAAGAGAACTAGAAAAGACAAAACTTATTTTACAGAGAGACCAGAAAGAGATCAAGAAAATGAGACAAGACATTGACAGAGAGAAGAAAGATCTAGAGAAATATAGAGCCACTCTTGAGAAACAATATGAAGAGATGGAGATATGCAGACAGAATATGGAAAATGAAAGATCTGAGTTAGAAATGACTCAAGAAAAAATAGAGATGGACATACAAAATATTCTAATGGAGACCAAGAGCAAAGAGGAGAGAATAGAAAACATGGAAGTTCAACTTCAAGAACAGAAGAGAGAAATGGAAACCATCTCATATGAGATAAAACAGAGACAAGAGGAGTTGGACTTCATAAACACAGAAATAAAAAGAAAGAGACGTGACATTGGGGATGCCAAAGGAATGGAGGAACATGAGTTATTTGGCATGCTTACAGAAAGAGAGGAGACTGTAAATAGACACATGGAGGAAATACAGAACCAAAAAGAGGCATTACAAAAGGAGAGGGATGAAGTAGAAAAAATACACGCTGGGCTGCAGAGGGAGAAAATGGAAATTGAGATGTGTCAAGCAATGTTGAACTCAGAAAAAAATGAGCTAAATAGAATGAGAGTCGATCTGGAGACACAAAAAGAGGAGTTTGAGGGTATGCAACAAAACATGGAGACTGAAAAAGATGAGCTGGAATCAAGGAAAGCAGAGGACACAGAGAGCCTTTTGGAGGACATTCTTAAAGAAAAGGAAAGGGTAGAAAAAATAGCAGCCCAACTTTCCAAAGAACAAGAAGAGGTTAAAATTATTAGGAATGAAACAAATAAACGGATGGAGGAGATTAAACGGATTGAGGAGGAAATTAAAACAAAGCAAGTAGAAATGGAGCACATTGAAGAACTGAAAGAAAAAGATGAACAAAAAAACATGAAAGCGGCTGAAAATCAAGAGCTTCAGCTGAGAAGAGTAGAATTAGAAAAAATGAAGACTGAAATTGACATTGAAAGAGGAGAAATTCAGAAAATGCGAAAAGAGTGTGAGAGAGAAAAACATGAACTGAAGCAAATCATAACAGACTTGCAGAAAGAAAAAACACAGAAAACAGATGCAGAAGTGCAATATGATGAAACACATGATGTTATGGACTCATTGAAAGAAGAGAAAGAAGAAATAGAAAGGATGAAAGCTGACCTCCAGAATGAGCAGAGAGAAATTGAAACAATAAGGGACATTATTAAAAGAGAGAAGGGTGAGCTAGAACACAAGAAAGCTGAAATGCTGCAAATGACTGCAGAAATAAGGGACGCGGACAGTGACAGGAACTTACAAGATGAAATGATGAAGATTGAAGCAATCCTCAAAGAAACCAAGAGACAGAAAAATGACCTAGAACAGGTGAATGAGAATTTGATCAGGGAAAAAACAGAGATGGAAAGCAACTGTCAGATACTAGAAAGAGAAAAAACAAAACTGGAGACAAGATTACAGGATTTGGTGAATGAACTGAATATTAAGTTGAAGGAATTAGAAGCTCTTCAAAAGTCCCAGATGGAGGAGAGAGAGAAGAAAACTCAGGAGAAATTGGCTATGGAAAAGAGCGAGCTAGAACAACAGAGGTTTAAAATGTACAAACAAGCACAACAACTGGAATACATTGGGGAAGCTTCAGAAAGGAAGTGGGATGAGACACAGGTAGCCACTGAAAGGACCAAACATGATGAAGAGAACAGGCAAATCTTGAAAATTGAGAGAGAGGAGGTCACACACCTGAAAGATCAATTACTGAAAGAGAAAGAGGATGTTGAAACCACCAAAGAGAGAATTAACAGAGAGATGGAACATATTGAAAAGATGCAAACCCAGTTAGATGACCAAAAAGAAGAAATAGAGCTTGAAAAACAAAAAATAGAAGACATAAGAACTGAGATTCAAGACAAGACAAATGCTCTCGAGAAAAGTATGCAGGACATACAAAAAGACAGGGAAAATATGAATGCTTTAGTAATCCAACAACAAAAAGAAAGAGAAGAGATGGATATACTAGCAGAAGAAAACAAAAGAAAAGAGGAGCGTGCAGAAGCTGAGATTAGAAGACAGCTAGAGGACATAGAAAATGTCAAGGTCAGGTTGGTAAAAGAGAGGGAACAAATTGATCGGATGAATGCAGAAATACAGACTAAAAGCAAAGAACTAGAGAAAACAATCAGAAAACAGCAAGAGGAGATTAAAATCAAAGAGAATGACATGCAAATAGAAAGAAAGGCTTTGGAGAAAATGAATGTTGAGCTAGAAAGGAAAACCACTGAAATAGAAAACAAGAGGGAGAAAGTAACTCTCTGGGAAGCAAATATACAGAAACAGAAAAATGAGGTAGACGAGCTAAAGAACATCTTAGAAAGAGAGAAAAGTGAACTTGACAGAGAGAAAGCTGAAGTACAACAAGAAAAACAAGAGATGGAAAACATTCTGAAAACCACCAAGAGTGAGATGGAAGACCTGAAGCAACTGAGGAATGAAATGGAGGAAGAGAAGAAAGACATGCTGGACAGACTGTCAATGGAAAAACATGAAATGGATCAACTAAAAACTGAGTTACAGTTGGAGAAGGAGAGCGTTGAAGAGGACAAGATGATGTTGAAGCAATTGATGAATGAAATAGAAAATAAAAGATCTCAACTGTACAGTGACACAGAGAAGATGAACATGGACCAACTAAATATTCAAAAAGAGAAAGACTCCCTGGAGGAAATCAAGGCTGATTTACTAAGAAAGGCTGAAAAACTTAATGAGGAAATGAGAAAAACAGAACAAACCACCTATCAAATCATCAAAGACAAAGAGGACACTCGAAAGAGTCTGGACGACATGAAGAGGAAGGAAGAAGAGCTCAGTACTGTGCATGCTGACATTGAAAGGCAGACAAAGCTTCTGGAATCTGATCTACTGCTACTTCAGACACAAAAAGAGAGCTTGGAGAAGAGCAAAGAAGAGAATGAGACGCTCAGAGAAGATCTTGAAAAACAAAGAGAAAATAATGACTTGACAATGCAAGAACTGCACAAAGAAAGACTGGCCTTAGAACAGATGATAACTGACATAACACAGCAGAAAGACACATTGGCAAACACACAGAATGAAATAAGACTTAAAGAACATGCACTGAAAAACAAAGAAAGAGAACTTGACACACAAAAAAAAGATATGGATAACCTAAGAAACATTGTTATGGCTGAGAAAAAGCAGCTGGAAATGAGACAAAATGTTATAAATCAACAGCAGCGGGAGGTTGATGACTTGATTGCAGAAAACAGAAAAATGAGAAATGATCTAGAGAGCATGAAAACCCATCTGGAACAAGAGAGACGGCAACTGCAGGAAAACATAAAAACATTTGAAGACCAGAAGAATGTTCTTGATCAAATCAAGGTTGATGCAGTGCAACAGACTGATGAGCTTGAGAAAATCACAACAGATACAAAGAGGGAAAAGGAACATCTTGGAATGGAAAGAGAAGAGATTGATGCTTTAAAGAAGGACATGCTCATCGACAATGAAAATATGCAGACAGAACGAGACAAGCTTAATGATGCTATTCAAAAGGACAGAGCAGAGATTGAAAACAGCAAAAAGAGCATTGATAGTGAAAAACGTCATATCGAAATGGATAGAGCTGCTTTAAACAGACTGAAGGAAGAGGTTGAAGTCAGCGAACAAAGAGTACAGCGCGAGAGAACTTTGCTGCAACAAGATAAAGACATGATACAGAAAGAAAAAGAGGACATGGAACGCATTATAGAAGAAAAAATTAGAACAACAGAGGAACTGGATCACCTCAAAGAGCATATAAACAGAAAATTATCCGAACTGGAGACGTTAAAAATGGAGATTAAAGTAAAGAGACAGGAAGCAGAAGTTCATTACTTACCAGGAGAGATGAAAACAGAAGACTACTCAAAGAAGGATGCTGATGTCCTAAGTGAGGCACAAAAAGCAGATGAAACGCATAAATATCAACTGAAGACCATCTCAATAGATGCTGAAACGCAAACGGAAGACATTAAGAAAATAGATGATAGCAGACAAAAGGTATTAAAAGAAGAAACAGCTGCAACAAAGACAAAACAACCAACTGTGACAAAGTTAGAGGACACGCACACATCTGAGGTGCAAGAAATAAGGGAATCTTTAAGTAAAGAAATGGAAGATTTGGAGAGAATGAAGACAATGATGAAAAAGGAGAGAGATGAACTGGAACAAGCTAAAACTGACATTCAAAGGAGGATGGAAGACTTTGAGAGAAATATGGAGGAAACCATGAAGAAAAGGTCAAGAAATGAAGAAAAACTGCTACAACGTACACAAGACAAGGAGGATTTATCAAAAACCCTTGATGAGAAAAATAAAGAAATAGAAATTGTCACAGAATCATTCATGAGAAAGATGGGACAACTGGAAAAGACTATAGCTGCAATGGAAAAACAGAAGGAAGCATTTGAAAATGAGTTGCTTCGACAAAAACAAAATGAACAGGAGAGACTAAAAATCCAGAGACAGACAGATGATACTTCCAGAAAGAAAGTCACATTCAAAGACACTAGAGAGGAGAAAAAGACAGACCAAGAAAGCAAAGCACAAACCTCTAAAACTGAGGGAGAAGTTCTCCAGCTAATGGATGACACAACCCTAGAACAAGATGAGCTAAACAACATGCGAGTTGAATTACAGAGGCAACGTGATGAAATGGAGAACAAAATGAAGATCACACAAACTGACCTCCTTGAGCTGGACAAGGCAAAAGAAGACCTGCATAAAGTGAGGGATGAATGTAGAACTGCTGAACAAGAAAAGTCAGTGATCTTGGAGAGTCTTGAGAGAAGTAGGAACAGTTCGGAGAAGGTTCAAGCCGAGGTCTTAAGACTTACAGAGGAGATTGAGCATCTCACACAAAGCTGTGAAAGCAAACGAAGAGAACTGCAACAAATAGAGAGTGGCATACAAAGACAGATGAAGAGGACTCAACAAGAAACTGATATCCAGAGCCAACTAGAAAACCAAGAAGTGGTAGAGACTCAAACAAGTACAGAAGACATTAAGCACAGGAGAACCCAAGAGACACAAACTGGAGACCAAGAAAGAGATGCTCTACCACACTATGAAGAGATAGGTGCAATGAAAAGGAGAATACATGAAATGAAAGGTGAACTAGAGAACAAATTACAAGACATCCAGAGAAAGGAACTGGAAAGAATAGGCATGCAAAGAGAAAAACTTGAGTTGGAGCTACGGAAAGCTGAGATAGAAAGATATAATGAAGCCCTCCGGCATGAGAGAGAAACCGACAGACTCAAGCTCATGGAAAAGGAGAAGGAAATACTTATTTTAAGGGAGTGCATGCTGATAGAGATCAATCGACTGAAGAGCAAAGAGACAGAAACAAGTACACAGCGCTTGGAGATGATGGAGCGCCTCGTCGGTGATGCAGCGGTAAGGATGGACCGATTCAGACGGGTTACGGATAGAGCCGTGCAAACCCTGATGTTGGAAGGAGATGGAGAGCAGTTTGGAAGAGCTGAGAGAGTGACGACAGATCAGGTGGAAAGTGACAGTGGAAGGGTGGAGATTTCTGAGATTTCTCTGGATGTCCTGAGTGAGGACAGGGAGGAAGAATCCCAGAGTGGGGGCGTGGCTGGACCAACTTCACGGAGATTGAGGCTATTGCACTGGATCAGACGGTGCTGCTGTCCCAGAAATGCTAGAAACACTGTAGAGGACACAGAGGACATTTTATAAACGCAGGTCTTGTTCATTAAGGCAGTCTTCACATGGAATTTGAATGAAAATGAGAAGCACTTTCTTAACAAGTACAATGTATTTTTATCTGTATATTATATGTAGTGTTCAGAGGGGAAAAAGCATAACATTTCAGTAAGGTCTACAATAACCCTAAAAAATTGGAATTCTAGAAAGCATAATAAAGTCGTATAATTACAGCTTATTTGCGTAGTTCCAAATGTTGGATCAAAGTTCATATGATCCAGAAAATCTTTGCATTTTCAAAACACAACACAGATGTTTGCACAAAGTACCAAAATGAATGCCATGTAGAGTACATACAAGTAACTTCTTGAAGGAATCAAATAACTCATTAGCATAATGTATGCAATACGTGTGTCTGTCTGTGTACTGTTTTCCCTAATGAATCTATGAAACACTCTGGGATCTGGATCAACTGATGCTGAAATTATCTATTTTGATTTCTCATAGCAAATTACTATAATTATCTAGTGTTTTTGTGCTATACTCCCTCCTGAATCTTTCCAAAAGGAACTGAAGTGCTTGGCTCTCTTAATTGACAACTCTGGAAATTTCTGCGAAACTATCTGTGAAAATACAAAGCTCACCTGTTATGTCCAAAGGTGATTATGCACATTCCTTTGGGGTCTGAGAAGAGCACTGATAAATGTGAGAGAATGAAAATCCTGTTCTTACGACTGCACCAGTTCGAGTGGTCCAGGTCTTCTTTGTTGCGTTCACATTCTTGCATCTCTGCATGATGGGAGTGTTGCAGATGTGCCCTGTAAAACATGGATACACAGAAGCTGCTGTTAGTGATTCATTTCACAAGGATCCACAGTATGCCAAATAACCGCCAGTGAACTACACTGGCAGGATAATTACAGTGGCCAATTATTTAGCGACTGGACAAAAAGAGAGCTTTGTGAATGTTTTAACTCAGATTAACAACGAGGCAATCTATTTTTAGATGATAACACCATCAAGTGTCCATTAAGAGGATCAAACACTCATTATTTCTAAAACAATTCTACTCTAATTTAATAACTATATCCCAGACTCATGTACACACACACACACACACAATATATATATATATATATATATTACTTTCAGTGTCTTGGCTTGGACTTGTCTTTCACAAACAGTGTATTTTGCAATAAACAGCTTTGGACTGAAATAAATAAAAATCTGAATTTACCATTTTTTTGTATTAGTTTTTCTTCAATATTGTGCTATAATGCAGCTCAAACCGTTGCATGTAGATAGAGTCGTACACAGAAAGAAACAACAATCACAGATCAGGCATTAGAATAAACATGGTTACTTACTGCATAATGTTGTGGCGTTGCTGACGGATCCATAGCAAAGTAAAAGAGTGTTCCTATGGCAATTCTCGATTGCAATAATGACCTACAATGGCGTCATTTTTCACAATCACGACGGAAAATCTAAATACTGCCCTAAACTCACTAGAAGGAAGGCAGCGCGAAATAAAACAGACTAGAACCAAATAGAAAGAGTCATGCAAAGAAAGAAACAGACACAAGAACATGTTAAGAATTTTACAGTGATTTTGACAAGTTGACACTTTTATGATGTATTCATACACAAAACATTCAGACTGGACTGACCTTTTGTTGGTGTCAGATGATTGTGGTAGATCAATCCATGACATGTAGTTGGAAAAGAGGCATGCAAAGAAATAAATAGAACATGTTCAGAAATGCAGTGTTTTTTCAGAATAAAATATTTATGTTACACTTTAACACAAGTTAATACAGTTTTGTACGTTTTCACGTGATATTTCTTATCATATTTACCATTGTGACGGCTCAAACCGTGGCATGTATGTGGAGAAAGCCATGCAAAACAACAAACAAAGGACATGATTTAGAGATTCTTTTCAGAAAAAAAAACCTTTTATAGAGATTTACCTTAATTAATGAATAGACATATCTCTTGTTCGCAAGTTTCATAAAACAAGTTTCAAAGTGACTTCAATACAACTGTATGACATCATAAAAGTAGCAGCATATCAAGTATGAATCAATTACCAATAACTGCTCAAGCTACTGCTTACCATTGTGATGGCTCAAACTGTGGCATGTAGATGGAAAAAGTCATGCAAAGAAAAGAAAATGATTTTGCACTTTAATATTTTTTAGTGATGTATTCATACAAAACATTCAGATTGTGTTGCATAATCTTTCTTACCATGTCTACCATTGTGATGGCTCAATGGCATGTAGACAGAAAGAAGAAATTAAGAAACAGACAAGAACAATTTTACAGTGACTGCACTTTTTTTCAAGTTTAGGCTATACAGTTTTATGATTTATTCATATACACAATATTCAGATTGGACTAACTTTTTTGTTGGAGATGATCTTTATTACTACATCATGTGGCAGATGCACTGTTGTAAATGTTAACCAGTTGATGAAAATTAAACAAATGTAAATAAAAAAAAATCGACACAAATTGGAAATTATGAGGTATCTATAATTATTTACGGAGCAAATAAAAATACGCTATAATAATTTATCATTTTTACTCATCCCTTTTCTTAAAAATGGATTAAGCGTTTCACAAAACCGCTGAGGCGTCGGGTCAACAACTCTCACTTCACCAAGAACAGTCTCTTTGGGACATAACGTTACCCGGATCGATTCGAAGATCGAAGTATTGCGAATACAGAGTAATTTACTGATGGGCAGTGCTGGGTAAGTCACTCAAAACAACTGTCCACTGCGGGTTACCAATTATTTGAGTAAGCACGTTTTCTAAATCCCCTACAAACACTTTAAACTAGAGAGTTACCAGCTTTTGTGCGCGCATGCTAATAGGCTATAGTATATCTGTGCAGGTGTTGGTATGTCTGACTAGTATGCGTAGGCCTACCTGAGATGAGTCTCATACTCATATGAATTGCACGTCTATGTTGAACTTACTGTGGCAGTAAGTTATTTTAGGGGACGTTTACATTTCATAGGAAAAACTTTTGTTTTTCTCCTCAACTAATTCCAAATAATGCCGCAAGCAAGCCACGTGCTCATCGCGTGCTGCACTTTAGTTCAGGTGTCACGTGCAACAGATACATGATGTAGCCTACACATGAGCTCAATTTAACATGCATATGAATATTTTAGAAATCTCAGCCAAGAGATGATTTGATATTGTTGTATGTTGCAAACTATATTCATGTTCTAAATGTTTGAATAGTTTTAAAAGCTGAAGCAACACATTCAATTATATAACATTACAAGAAAAAAACTAATTCAGCCAAAATGTGCACGTATGTGGTTTTATTAGTGGTTTTACTTTTTATATCACTTGAATTTTTTTTTTTTTTTTTTTTTTTTGAAATTTATTATAAATTACAAAAATAAGTCAGATACTTACACAAAAACAAAATTCAAGGAATTAACACATTCCTTATATCACAAATATATAAGTATAAAAAAAGTAAATTATATATATAAATCTACACACACAAACATATACATACATATACAATATAATTATTCCATATAAGTAAGATAAAAGGATACAAATAAAAGTATCAACCATAGAAAGCAGAAAATTCATCTTACACAAACAATACATAGAGGGTAAGTTAATCACAATAATATCAGGGAATACCAAATATACTTTTATAACACTCTATAAATCTATTACTTTTCTTATTATCTATCAGGATAAGAGAATTAAGAAGTAATTTAAATTCCACTAAAAATAAAGGGAATGAGGGTTGAGACCCTAAGAATTTCTGTTTATGAATGAAAAATTTCCCCAATAAAATACAAAAATTAACCACATGAGTAAGAGATTGATCCTTGCTATTATCATAGTAACATATTACATCCTTGAGAGAAAATTTATAAATTATCATGGGAGGGTGGAATATGAAATGATTTAAATCAGACCAAATATCACTTGAAATCCCACGCCGTCTGCTCACTCGATGACGCAATTACGTAAGACGTATACATATTGTTTGAACTGATTATTTCCTGGAAGAACCGATTCTCTGTAATATGTCTTACTTCACTATTCAGTCTTGTTGCTTCATAATGAAACTTTCTATCCAAACACAAGAGGGCATCAGAGCATCAGTAAAGATCTTTAAAAGAACAAGTGAATTCAAATAGATTTAAAAAAAAAAAAAAAAAAAAAAAAAACCTTCCAAATAATCTGTTTAGTGCTTGCGGCATTCTGCTATATGATCATTAACTGATGTTTTCATTTTCATAACCCCTGTCCTTCACTTGCTCTGCACACGTATTCTTTCCTTTATGTGCTAATATTAAATGATAACCTTTTAAGCAAACCACAACATAGCAGCTTTAATTAACTCTGCTCAAAGGAATGTCTCTCTAATTGGCATTAAATATTAAATTCCCCTTCCTGTTGTAATGCTGAAAAAAATAGTTTACACCAATGTCCAATTGACACTGAGCCAAATATTGATGGTCCAGAAGTGCTGTGCTGGTTTAATTATCCATATACGTAAATAGATTTTTCTGTTGTCTATACTACAGCCCTGTAATATAAATAGAGAATTGACAAGGAAAGTGAATGCAAAATATTTTATCGTTATGTATTAGCATCATTAAAAGTGGGATAGAGACAGTGGGCAGTACAGTGCCAGTTTTGTCTTAATGAATGGAGTGACTCAGCTGTGTAGAAGAGGCTCATTAGCAGACTTCAGTCAGGGTCTTGTGCCCCAGGGCATAGTCTCTCATGTACAGCCTCCCCCCTGCTGGCTGAGCCACATTTGGACGTGCTGTAGAACCAAGGGAAGCTATAGACGAAGATATATAGCCGCTAAACCCCAAGCGCGAGACAGTTATGCTCCTTCATGCAGGTCAGTGGATAATCTAATTTAGTGTAATGAATCTAAAATGCAAGGAGGAGGTTCATGCGCTGTGCAAGTCGCTGAATGTGTACACACAAACACCCAGCATTTGTAATACATCTGCAATTATTCCTAAGCATTTGTTCCTGGTGCAGTTGAAACCTGTCATAGTTCATACCGGCACATGTGACAAGATGTTTACTGCAAGCAAACCCAAGCAAAGGTCACTTTCATACCCTTTACTGCCA